ATATTTTACCTTATATTTTAATCCTTTTTTGATTCACCATAAAAAATACTTGTAACACTGAAGCTATTCATTCTATATGTACGTTAGAAATGTGTAATTTTCGGATTACATTTTGTTGAACAATGCAAGTGTATTTTTTTTTTACATATTTTGTTAATATTTTTTTATGATGCACTATTGTTATTTTGTTAAAAGATTTACTACTTCTAAAGTTGTCAAAAATTTAATTTATTTCAGGATTTTTTACTTATTTTTTAGTGGATAATGGTATTGGTTTTGATGGTATTTTAATAAATTTTGTAGTTTATAAAGTATAACTGTTTTTGTAATTTTTTGCTCCACATTGTATGTGAACATGTTTTTAAGTTGGTTATAAAAATATTAATTTGTAAGAGAATTTTTTTAAAATTAACTTTTTACTGAATACGGCAGGGAAAATGAGTAATTTTTTTTATTACAAAGTGGAATAACTTTCTATTATTAACAGAAAAAAATGTTCAAAGTATTTTAATAGGTTCAATTAAATTGTTATCAGAGATTTATTCATATTAAATCTGGGGTATTCAGTAAGTAAGTAAGTAAACCAGATTTTTGCTTGCTAATAGCATAGTTTTTATCTTTCTCAATTACTTTCAGTTTTACATACCTATATCTGATATTAATTTTAATGAAGATTTTACTCGTGTTCTGATTTGCTGTTAGCATAGTTTTACTACTATTTTATAATGTTAACTTCTCATATATTTTTTTATGATACTGAAAGTCATTCTTTGAATTTCTTTTTTAATAATTGAAATCTATTATTTGTATTGCTATTTCTTTAATTATTAATTGCTTGAATATTTGCATATATTTTTGCATCTGGCATCTTTAGTTAGCAGAGTTTTATACGATTGTGCACTGTCTTTTGCTGCTCATAGTTTTGATATGTGAAAATCTTTGATATTAAATTTCAGTAGTAGCACTTTATTATTAAAGTTTTACTTTAGTGTACTGCAGAGTTGGACAAAGCATAATTGGTTACGAGCAGTTAATTTCTTTTAATCATAATTGCTGATTATGATTTTAAATGTGATAATAAGCAATAATAATTGTAATTAATATTGAACTGTGATTATTACTGATAGCGATCTATGATTACAAGTAAACTTGCTTACATCTAATCTTAAAATTCAATTGTAGTTTTCATTAAAAATACATTGATTACAGAGAAATTTATGACCTTAATCAAATATATTTTGTCCAACTCTAGTGTACTGTTGGTGCTTGCCTTTTCTAAGGATGATGCTTCGAGTTCATCAGTAATCGCTAACAAGTAATTGCATGAGGAGTTTGAAGCGATTTGCAATTGCACTTGGGTTTTTTTTATCTGCAGTTTTTTTTGTTAATTCTTTGGGAGATGGAAGTACCAAATTATCAGTTTTTTTTCTTTTTTAAGAATTAACTTTTACACCAATTATTTTTATTATAGGAGTTGTATATTTTGTAAAGCGTAATATTATGCACAATAATTAAAAAGTGAAGCAGAGGCCGTTTAGCCATAACTAGGTAAATTAGAGAAATGGTGACAAGCCTGAAGTGTAATTGCTATGACGAAACTACAGAGGATTACTTTCTATGCCTCTAAACCTAAGCCGACCCGTAATGACTAAATGAACGCTAGTAAATTATTTGAATGTCTCTTGGGTATTCATCGACTTTTAATTTATGTGAGAATCGGAATTACATTTTTTCCCCTCTTTGTGTAATAGTTAATTTCTTTACAAGTTGCTTTTATTGTGCAAGTTGTATATTCCATAAAATTTAATAATAGATAGAATCAATAAGTACAGCCATTAAACTGGTATGAAGAATTCACATTATATTTACTTGCTAAGTTACATTGATTGCTATGCTTGAGAGGATGATAATCAAGCAGCTGTCAGTAAATTGCATATATTTATAAAAAAGACGCACATTGAAAGGACCGATCACAAACAACCATTCCTTGTCAATTTCCTGGAACCAAAGATAATTATCAGTACTTATTTTGAAATATCAATATTTGCGAAACCTTAATTCGACCCTGTATGGCTGCGAGGGATAAATTGTTGATCTTTGAAAGAAAAAGTTTGTGGAAAATTTATGGCCCTATGAATGAAAGTAACATGTTGAATACTTTACAACCGTAAGATCTACAACAAATTTACGGAGTCCGACATCTCCCAAATCATCAAAGCATATACTATAAGATGGCTTGAACACTTTCAAAGGAAACTGTCCTTAGGCACTATCCTCTGGCACCAGGAAAAGAAGTTGCTCAGCTATCTGGTTTCTGGACGATGTATAAAGATCTTGACATGTTGGATGATTGAAATTAGAGAACAGCGACCTTGGATAGACAGTGATAGTGGAATCTGACTGGAACGGCCTTTGCCTGTTTTAGGCTGTAGTGCCAAAGAAGTTATTTTGCAATTAGCCATGAAAGAATAATCAAATTGGAAGGTCCTTATTAAAGTTCTTGTGAAGTCCACCTGCTTCACAACTATGCTAGACTAGGCATAACCATGGGAACTTCAGTAGAAAATTGAATGGGAAGTACTGAGCCACCCATCCTGTAAACCAGATCTGTCTCCCTAACAACAATTTTACCTTGGTCCCCAATTTGACTTAAAATTGGCTCAATATGGGTCCTATATAAACATGCACCGAGAGACCAATATTGGGACGTCTAGATTTGCCTTATATAGGGCCATTATTAGCCTTTTTTTGGCCAATATAGAAATTATAAATAAATATAAAATATCAGGTGAATGTGACAATTCTACATATGGCCGATATTGGTTGTAAAGTGGCTGTGAAATATCGCTTGAATCAGACAATCCTGTATGGGGCCAATATCGGGAAATAACGGCTCTTTGAAACCCTATTGAGCCAAGATTCGCGAATGTTGGTCCAATTTGGGCCCGAATTATTTTGCTGCTAAGGCAGTTTTTTACACATTGATGATTGATGAGCCGGAAAACCTTGGCAAATCATTAATTTTAAACAAGTGAAGAAGTCAAGGTGTGCACACACAGCTTTTTCTAAAAACAGTCAATGACATACTTTGAATAGTGTCATACTGGAATAATTGAACACTGGAATAATTGATAAATTGAATGAAATAGCCTTTGTATCGTTATTTATTGACTATATCTAATGTTCTTTCATAAATACAACTTTTTATATAATAAAAGTTATATAATTGAGTCATAATATGTTTTCTTTAGTTAAAATAATTTCTCTATTACTTGAAATTTGAATCTTTTATTAAATTAAATTTGTTTTTGGCATATTTTGGTATTAAATGTGAAAACAATTACCTTACTTGATATAAGTTCTGACTAGAAAATCTGCTAAAAATAGAATATTTACTATAAAATTATCCAAGTAACGTAAATTAACTCAATTACTTTAAATGTGTAATTCTAAAAACAATTCTGTTTGGGGGATTCTCTTTTCGACGCATGTGATTCTTTGCGCTGAGCTTGCTTTTTGATGCACTAAACTAATTTCTTCTTAATTTGAGAAGGTAGAAGAATTCGCTTTGGAAAAAGTTACCACTAATAATTGTTTGAACTAGTATTGTTTTTCGATTTTCCTATCACAGTTAAAGATTTCTATAACAGCTTGCTTTCTATTTTATCCTTTCTTTGCTTTATTTACAATTGTTTTTCCCATTATAAAAAAGTATGAGAAAATACTACATTTGCATTTCCCAATAGAAACATTAGGTAAAGTATTGTTTTTTGAATAGTATTTTTAAAATTAGATTGGTCTAAGTTGAAGGCTTATGTTACATAGAAATAAAAATATTAGGTTACATCATAAAAATTTACGGTTTTTAATTAAAAATTTTTAAACTATACAGACTTAAATAGACTGCTAATGTAGCCATTCTTCGTGGAAATTATAGGTTTAGTCTTAAATAGTTTACAGTAATTATTGTTTTTGAATAGAATTTTTTGAACTATACAGGCTTAAATCTGTTATCTATATTTATTCATATCAAACTTATGTTTTTTTATTAAACAATAATTGAAAAATATTAAGTTAAAAATAATTAAAAAATAAAATATGAACAAGAAAATAAAATATGAAAAATTTATAGATTTCCAATATCTTTAATTTGTAGTCATTTTTATCCTTAGTATTTATTTACACGAAGTTTCTCTTGTTAATATCTTGTAAATAGCTTCTTTAATTAATTAAGTTTAACATTAAAAGTAGTTGTTACTGTTAAAATTATTTAAATAAATATCATTGATGAAAAAAGTATAAAATTTTTTTTTTTGACCCTAAATATTTATCTGCATTTTAAAAAATTTTTCTATTTCATTAGATGTAATCTTCCTTTTTCATTATTATTTCTTTGCTCTATTTTTTTATAATTACTTCTTTCATCATTTAAAATTCTGAACTTTCTTTCATGATACCATCTATATTTTTTTACTGTTTTTTTTCTTAGTGACAAACTTTATCTTCTAACTGCTCTTTAGCTTTGATCGTGTTTTATGTGGGCTCATTAAAATCGAGGTTTATTGTATTTCCTTCTGAACATTTTCTTTCATTACCAAATACAGGCCATCTCCATCGAAGGTAGCCTTGCGTAGGGCATCTTCAAGCACTTCAGTCGCTTCCACACAAAGCCGTGAAGTACGAAACATTCGATTAATCCCTGTCCTCGCCTCAGCCCGGTCCCGGTCTCCATCTCCTATCAAAACACAATTATCGCCAGTTCCTCGCCGGAACGCTCGATTGAGTTCCAATCTCTCGCCGAAGAAAATTGCAAAGGCGTGTTCTGAACTCATTTCCCCAGAGTGTGCTGCTTGCAAAGAAAACCATCCGAAAGAAAAGGCAAACCAACAATTGTCACGAGGCAGTATTCCTGCTCAGTTAAAGCGATTCGCCTCTTTCAAGTCTGCTCATATAAAAATATCTCAACTGAAGCGAATCTGCTCTGATCCCCTTTATCCCAGGTCTCCCGTGTTAGAAGAACAAGTCGTTCCAGGAACGAGTTCTCCGACAGCGTGCCACTCGCCTGCCAAAGGAGCCATTTCTTCTGCACACAGAAGGTCTTCAGACTCTGATCTCAGTGCAACTCCTAAAGGTATTTACTGAGTAAGCTCTACAACTCAATAAACTGAGGTGAAAAAGTTTTTTGTTTTGTTAAAAGTTGCCATTTTTGATAGTCAATGCACAAAATTTGTCAAATATCATTTATTGTTTTGAAGGAGTGGTGGTGTCGTATAGTATTTTGTTTTTCATTTGAATGTCATCTTATAATGAAAAAAAATGCTTCAACCAATTTTTTTCCTGTACTTTGCCAAGAAAAGATATTTATTAAAAATACATTAATGGCACGACATGCTATCTTAAAGTTTGGAGCTGTTTTAGAACTGAATTATTTGTTATTTCTAGCTTCGGAGGATCAAATTTAGAGTCCCTGTTCGAATTTCATAATATTTTTGAATTTTCTTTTACAGAAAGATGTGTTCCCTCAAAATAGTTTACATCGCCTAATTTATTTTGGAAAATTATTTAATAAGCTTTTAATTCACAAGTAGGAGTTTCTTATCAGTAAAATATAGACAATAAAATTAGTTACAAGAATGTTATAGTGAAAAACATAAATAGAAAATTGTGACAGCTACTACTCAAAACTTTAAATTTGTTAAATTTCGCAAATTAACTAACCATAACTGATGGCAACTTTTGACAGCCATTAAAAGTAAATGTGAAAATTTTTGCATGACCTTTTGTTTTTTTAAAAATATGTTTTTTTTTAATTTGGGAAACAATCCCTTATTTTTAATTTGGTACCATAATTTCAAAGTACTCTTTTTGCCATTGTAATGAATTCTAACTACTATGTAAAAAGCAATTTTAAAAACGAAAAACTTCTGGTGCAGCTGATCTCTTGGAAGTAAAGCAAATTTTTTAATCATGGTTTTTATATTTTCATGATTAAATTATTTTTTTAAAACAGTGATTAAAGTTGTCATTTATATCACATAATGTCTCATTTTGTTGTAAAGAGAATTAGCTAGTTACATGTAAGGACACAAAGATCTATACATCTAAATATAAAATGCTGAGCTTGATTTGTCACTGCACTGAAACAATTGAATAATTATTGATTCCAGTTAAATGTTTGTGGTAATTATTTATTTCATGCTATCTTTGAAGGTGGCAGTTTGGGTGATAATAGTTGTGGATTACGATCAGTGCAAAGGCCTGCTGTTGCTCAAGAGAGTCTGAGTATGCTGGTTAGTATTGTTTAACACGGAGCTTTTAAAAAAATTTTCGTATTAAGATTTTAAATGGAAAACTCATATGTATTATCGTAAATTTCTTTTTTTTTTTTATTAAGGCTATGTAAACTGTATTTTAATTTGATTTTAATTGGTCTCTCAAAGTTCATAATTTTTTTTTTCTTTTAATGCTTAATAATTTCTCAATGCACGTAATAAAAGTATCAGTTTCTGATTTTATCATAGCTAAGCATTTTAGCATTATTATTAAGACACATACATCATTATTGCTTTTTATTCAAACTCAATACACAAAATGCTAATCAGCTTTTGATTTCCTGATTGCTAAATGTTACAGAACCAACACTAAAACACATAATACATCACATTCCCCATATTTCATTATTTTATTTGATAAAGTGAAACATTTATTTTTGATTCTCACAATTTTGAATTCAATAATTTATGAGCAGGAATATAAATATTACTTTTATAATGATATAGTAATAACTATATTTTGTTCTTATTTTATTAATGTTTCATTTCGCATTTTATTAATGTTTCGCATTTTATTAACCTTATTCCTTACTCACTTCTCTTCTTTCTCACCAATCATATAACCAACAAGTTTAAACAAATACATTTTAGAGTTTTCAGACAATTTAATTGATTTAATTTTGATCAACATAACAGAATAAACAAAATATGTAGTCCAGTGATACTTTTTGAGTCAAAATCATTTTTTAAATTCAAACAGTAGTACAATGATAATATTACTACTTTTTTTTATTACTTTTTTTTTAAAATTAAACTCTTTTTTTCCAAGTTTTTTTGACTTAAAATTTTTAAGGAATATTTTTTGCTATTATTTTAGGAGTATCCCTTTATTACTATGCGTCAGTTTCCAGCAGGTTTTATTCAGCACATTGGAGGGGTAGTTTCAGCACGTTCAGTCAAACTTCTTGTTCAAATAAATAACCCAGGTACTTGGATTTATTGCTCACCTAGTTTTATTTTTAAATAATAATTTTAATTATTTTTTTCCCCTTTTGTGACAATATTTTCTTACATTCTTATGATGCACTTAAAAATTTTAAATTTTTAGTTTTATTTTAAATTAATACATTTGCTCTAGTACATTGTCACACATTTTCTTCCAGCTATTTAAAGATAACATATGTATTAGCATGTGAAATAAATTGTGGCAAATTTTTTTTTGACAAAACATTGCTCTTGTCCAATGATTATTTTTAAGCTTATTAATACTCATTCTTCCATTTTTAATATTTTTATTTAAATAATTCCAAAAAATATTACAATGGAAATATTATTGTTAAAAAAGTGTATTGCAGAGGTGATGGAAGAAAATATGCTATTACAAGCACTACTACAACCGCTAATCCAAAGTCTAAATATTAATCGAACAATTTTAAAAACTTTTTTAAAGTTGTTCAACTATCCGGATTTTTCGTTATCCGTATTTGCTTTGATCCCAATTGGGCTGAATAATCAGCACTCTACTGTATTGTAAAAAATAAATAACAATCATTACATGGAGTTAATACAGGCATCACATTAGGATGTATTATTATTTGTAGGTTGAATTTTTTTCTGTAGAAAAACTTCTTATTAAGCTTTCTTTCCCCTCTAAATTCTGTAAAATAGCTTTACCACAGAAATTATGGCTTGAATAATCAGCATGGTTATTTGGGCATCAGAGGTGATTGTGCACCGGAAAAAATCTGGATTTCCGGATTTTTCCCAAATTGCACTCCGGAAGATTCCGGAAATCTTAGATCCCGAAGTTTCAAGAAATCATCGATCACATTTATGTATAAAATTTTTTGTCTATTTTATTTAAAAATATTAGAACTAGGCCATGGCACAGAATAGATCAAGATGACAAAAACTTTTTGGGACGGCCTTGGCCTATCATAGGCTGTAGTGCCCAAGAAGAAGAACTAGAATTTATACTTGGTATCTTTCATTTGTAAATATTTTTTCGGGTAGAATAATAAATGTGATTAGAGATAAAAATAAACTTATACATAATTATTCATTTAAGTTATGCTGTATATAATTTATTTAGAATTCAATGTTTTGAAAATATCAATGATTTAAATTTATAAAGACATTATGCGTCTTTAATGATTTTACTCAAGAAATTTTCCGGATTTTTGAGTTGGACTCACATTCAGCCCTGGGGCATGTATAATCACGGGCTTGGAGGCAAGAATAATTATAGAGATTGCAACTCTGTATGTTGTAAAAAATACCATTAATTATTGAATGTTCAGAAACTTTGTCACGGTTGTACTCATTATTAGTTCTAGTCTAACAATTAGCTTTTCTTTCAAAAATATTTTAAGATGAACCAGAGACTCGAGATGCATGGTGGACAGAGTTAAGGAAAGAAATAAGATCTCATATCCGTGCTTTAGGCTGCAATGTAGTTCTTGGGTACATGGAAACCACCAATATAAGGTGAGTATTTATTTTATTTTAAAATTATTATTTATAATTTCATTGATTCAAATTCTTGATAATATGAATCTTTGTATGTTTTCTTTTAATGTATGTAAACATGAGTTTGTAATATCTATTGGTATAGCTGGTTTTTACTTAACATGAATTAAGTATTTCAAAAATGACTGGCGTTTTAAAAAATCAACTAAAAAAAGATATAAATAGATATAAATCTATGGCTTGCTGCATTCTAGAAAATGGATACTTTTTTTTCTAGCTTAATTACGAACAGTTTAGTCTAGCTTAATTACAAGAAGTTGAGTCTAGCTTAATTATAAATTTTGTCAACAGATGGCAATGTTTTCTGAGAAAAATTAATAAAAATTGCTTTTGAAATAGCCACCATTTGCAGTCTGAGGAAAAAAATTAGCAGATGGCCTTGCAAATATTTCAGTAGGAATGATTAAACATGGAGCAAAATATATTCCTTGATAGTTTTCTCAGTTAGTAGCACTATCTGTTGACGAACTCTGTTACTGATTTTTGAAGTTGTTGAACCTGGTTTTGTAATCAGAGTGCAAGAAACTATATATTTTTTTCTCGAATCATTGATAATTTTTGGTTTACATTGATTTGGTTTAGTTTAAATACGTTAATAAGCTGGAAAACCTTATAAATCATCTGCATGCTGTCCGTTTAGTGATATTTTCGTCATTGGTTTGTTTACTGACTTTGCCTATTTCAGTGATGATATCTGTGTGTTGTCTGCATCTGGTACAGCTGCTGTCTTATGTACATCAGATCAAGAGGTGTCAAACATAAGCACTCCTGCTTTGTCGATGAACTTGCAGCCCCGCCCTAGCGTTGTAACTACTGGTGTACCGGGTGATGAAAAGACAAAAGAAATCCCAAAAGATAAACCCTTGAAAATTGATGTCAATCTAGCTAATCAAATAAGGCAATCTCATCTTCATGATTGGTATAGTTTAGTGCCACCTGCATCTTTTTATTTATCAGTTTATTTATTTTGTAGTATAGATGTTTATGCTTTAAATTGAGTAAACTATAGAATTTTGCTTAGTTAACTATAGAATTCTGCTTAGTTTTATGTTTTTTTGTTTGCATCTTTTTTTAAAATTTAATGACACAGTGGGTAAGAAATTTTATAAGGCATATGCTATTTTTTAACATATAACAAATCACAAATTTTAATGTTGTTGTTGTCGTATCCCATTAAGGTAAAGGGGGTGCGCTTCTTGTTTTCAAGTGGTGCCATCTATGGCCAAGAATTCAATTTCCGTCACACACATACGTCACAACCCATTTATGAGGTTCACCCATTCATTCATCCACAGATCATAATTTTTAACCTGAACCAGCGAACTATTAATCTCCAATTCAGTACCCTCTGATGTATGATTTGTTATGAAACATGGAGGACTTTGTGGCCCAGTAGATTTAACGTGCACTAGTCATCATTCACTGCTCAAGGTGTTTTTGGCCGGCGGGTATTCAATTCACTTCTTGGACATTTGCCTAACGCCCTGCCAACCAGGCTATCCCGGATTAGAAAATTTAAATAGTTTTAATATAATTCAAAACGTCAAAAAAAAATCCACATATTCATCAGTAAATTGGTTCTCACTTCAATACTAAGGAATAATTTTTCAATTTGTGAAAGTTAGCTTTCTGGAATTTTTTCATTTTTATTTCTTTGATTTGTTAAAATTTTTTTTAAAAATTGTGTTTGGGAAAAATATTTATCAAAGGAGTCTGAGTATGCTGNTATTCATCAGTAAATTGGTTCTCACTTCAATACTAAGGAATAATTTTTCAATTTGTGAAAGTTAGCTTTCTGGAATTTTTTAATTTTTATTTCTTTGATTTGTTAATTTTTTTTTTAAAAATTGTATTTGGGAAAAATATTTATCAAAGTAAGTTATCAAAGTAAGGTTATCAAAGTAAGTTAAAAAAAATGTTCATTAAAGCATTTTCCTTTTTTTTATGAATTAGAAATTCAAAGAAAAACTTTTTTTCTCAAATTAAAGAAAAAAACATTTACCTAACTAAAGTTACAATTATTAAGTTTTGATTGTATATATTTAAAAAACGTTTTAATTGCTTCATACTTGCAAGGGCAATCTTGAGCATTGATGATCTTATTTTCTTTTATTTTAACTATTCTAACAAAACTCAGTGGCAAGATAGCCCATAGAGGGCCAAGGCCTACCGTGCGCATCTCAGTTTTCTTGACCTTGGGTGCTGGGTTGCAGGAGCTGAACATAGAACCCCCAGTTTTCAGTCCCCAAGCATGCTTGATACTCATTTTATCCACCCACTGAAGAGATGAAGGGCTGTTTTAACTATTCTATTCACATTATATTTTAAGTTACTTGCTTCATGAGTAATTTTTGAGAACAATAAAGCTAAATAAGATTGTAAAATATGGCTGTTTTAATTTTAAATAGTAAACATTAATGTGCTTTCCTTTTTATAAGTGTATACTTGTTTAAAATGAATTCTCATTCAAAGCTAATAATATGCCCAACACAATCATTAACTTATTAGAGTTATATGTTTTTATTTTAAAACATTATTGTCCATTTAACTTTTGTATGAATTTTGTGATGAATCTAACTCTAAAACAAGGTTATTTTTGTTAGAGAAATGAACTTTTATATGAATACACTTGTTGAAATATATGTAATCTTGAAATGTGAAACTTTGCATTACGTAGAATTTTGTGTTATATAGCTCATTTCTCATACCTTATTCTCATATCTTCATTAATCTTGCCTGCTGGACTGTGTAGGTTCTGGGTTCTAATCCTGGGCAAGGCATAGATGTTCCTTTATTGTCTGTATTATCTGTCCTTACTGTGGGAGCAACGTTGACCCACCTTATATGGTGCCCCTGAAAGAGTGGCCAACATAAGAGTGGTCCCTATCATAGTTATTTTTTTTGTCATAGCCTTATAAATGCCTGAATTGACGAAATGTTAAGACAGGTTGGCATCGGAAATAATAATAAAGAAAAAAAATATTGCCTTTTAAACATGGCTATTTGGAGCAGATCAATATTAATGTTTAGATTCAATATTACTTTTTAGATAAAATATATTAAAATACAAAAAAAATGCATTTAAGTATTCATTTTTTATAGAAAAAATTGCAAATGTCAAGAATAATAGACATAAAATCCAAGAAATGTATAAATTTGGTTTGCTTTAGAGATTGTGAAGTTAGCGCAGAGAGTTGCGGTTTACAGTATTGCGTTATACAGATCTTTTACTGCAACTTTATTTTAATCCATTATTAGCTTTATTTTAATTTTCACGATTGTTTACTTAGTAATCTAGCTATCTGTTAAGTTTTTTTAAACTTTTTACTGTGAGAAATTTTCGACTTTGTCTTGCAACGCTCAATGGTATTATTTTCTGATTATCATGCTGTAAGTTATTTTTTTTGTCATAGTACCAAATTTAAAGGTAATTAGTGTTCACCTCCATTTATGTATAATTTTGAATTGAACTCAGAAGAGAAGTAAATGCTTAAGAAAAAGTATTTGGTTAAACTGACACACGTAAAATAAATACATAAGTGAATCATATTCCATTAATATTACACAAATAGGAAAAGTTATAAAAATCTCTTATGCCTTATAATAATTTGTAACTCTTGATATGTATATTAATCGTAATCAATCTAATTGACAGCAACAATTAACTTGAGCAGGAAAACGCTACACAAACATAAATTATTCATAATTTTTACAACTTTTACTGGGATTTTAAACTAGGTTGCATTTCTTCAAAAGCAACCTAGTGAAGAGAAATCATAAAAACTTCTCAAGATGAGTATGTTAGTCAATTTCCAATATATTAGTTGCAAAACTTATGAATTAATGAATTTGAGTATAACTTATTTTATCTTATTTTACTTAGGTCAGAGGACTTGAGCAAAAATGCTGGCTGCAAAGTATGCCATATTCCATATTCTGAGTCAAGTATTCCCTTCCCCACCAATTTAGTCAGATGCAATGTCTGCAGGTATTGTTACTAAATAAAATCCTTGCACGTGTATTGCAATATAATTACTTTAAAAAGTCCATGCACAATTTAAGCAAAAATATAAAATTATTTTTTTAATTTGAAGTACTTGTTTGCTACTTCTTGAATGCCAGTCAATTTTTATTAAAAATATACTCATGTATGTTTATGTAATATTTTGGTAGTCCGTTGCAGGCTATTTTTAATGCTAAAATTAATTCTATCTTATTTATTTTTTTTGTTTCTTAAATGTATGTTATTTTGTTAAAGAAATTTTTTCTCTTACAAATCTGATAATACTTTTATGATTGTTTTATTTTTTTGATCTGATAATATGATATTATAATTGCAGTTATTGCAATTTGCCATAAATACTTAGCGTGTATGTATATATATATATATATATAAAAGAGGCTGTTAGCAAAAAGAGAAGCAGAATAAAAACTCGAGATAAAATAATGAGCATGCTTTTTCAAAAAATAATTAGCTTTATTATAAAGATGATTTCATTTCACATTAAAAAATATTATTTTCAAAAATTGTGACTTGCTAAATTTTATCCATTTTTCGAAGTAGGGTTAAAAAATTTCTTTTAAAATTTAATAGGACATGTTTAAGATTTTCATCTCTGTAAGTACGGCAAATAAGGATGTTTTATGATACCCATATTCTATACCCATATTCTTTAGACATTAAGGAGTAATTAAAAGAAATATATCAATGTTTTTTTGTTTTTACTGACTCGACAGCGCTCTGTAAGCCAAGATTACAAAGGACTGTGTTACTTAGATTTTTTTTTCATTCTCTATTAACCTTTAAAACTTTGTTATTTTTAAAACATTTAAGTTGAACAAATTTATGCTATAGGAAAGCAAAAGTACCAGATGTTCTTTTTATGACAATTGAACCACCACCAAATATTTCTGTAAATGGCAAAAGTTGCCTGCTGCAAGCTAGGTAAATGTTTCGAGTTTTTTTTTAATAAATCCTTTTCAGTAGTTTTGAATGATTTTGTGTAATTTTAATATTTTTCAGGGTGTGCAAAAATAAAAAAGATGGTAAAGGTGAGCAAAATGCTAAAGAAATTAGTGATGTGAGTATTTTATTCTTAATTTCTTGCAAAATTCATATGCTCATTGTTTTCCCTTTTTTAAAATGAAATATTCTTTTTAGAGTCTGCCTTTTCTTGAATATGAACTCCACAGGCAGTTGCTTAATAAATTAAAGGTATGTTGTTATTTTGTTAAATTATTTTATTGGATTGATAATGCAACAATACTGTTTTCAAATGTCACAGTTAACTTTTGCAATTTCTATTCTTTTTTCCTCAATTTGCCTTAAATACAAGCAAGGTCCTTTTCTGACATATGATCCTATACTGTTTGAGTGAATGGAGTAAAATTTTGTTTATAGGTATAATGATTTATAGTTCCAGTGACAAAATTTTGAAACTTTCAAATGGCAACACCCACTTTTTTGATTGAATTGCAATCCTTACAGTAAAAACTTAAAATAGAGTTGTTTAGTGAATAATATTTTTAGCACAAGAAATTGCGAACATCATCTTTTGTGACCACTAATGAGAAGTGAGTCTGATAAAAGATTTAAGAACGATGTGCCAAAAAATTTTTAAATTTAAAATGCTTCATTTTTCTTCGTAATATCTTCTTAGTTAAGTTTTTTTATCACACTCTCTTTTCATTAGTTGTCGTAAAATAGTCTGAATAGTCTGATTTCATTAGTCTGATAAAAGATTTAGGAACAGAACATGTGTGGGCGATGTGTCAAAAAATTTTTAAACGTAAAATGCTTCCTTTTTCTTTGTAATATCTTCTTTGTTTTTAAAAGTTTTTTTTTATCACAATATCTTTTCATTAGTTGTCGTAAAAAATAGCAATACTTGGAAATGGTTTAACTTTACAATTTCTGTGGTAAAAATATCTTCCCAACTCCATTTTAAGTTTTTTTAAAACTGTGTTATACTTTGGTTAAATAAAGTGAGTGTCAAAACTTTGTCAATGAAGCTGCTGTAACCATAAAAGCTATGCAATTATTTTTAACTTCATTCTTAAGCGCATGGATCATAATACCAATCACAAAATGTTTTTTTTTTGTTTCACTCAAATGGTAAGTTCTCTAAAGGGAAATATGTTGGCAAAGTTATTTTATAATCACCATGTATATATTTTTAATAGTGACTTTCTATACTTTTGAAAAGTGTTTGCAATGAGAAATCGTTCTTTTATTGTATAAATATTATATTTTTATCTTTCCATTTTTTTCTTTACATTTTTATCTTTGAATTTTATTAACTATTTTTTTCAGGTGAAGTGCATGAATGCCATATTTGGTCTAAAGGTGCAAGTATCTATTGGAGATAAACTAATCATAGGCATAGCTGTAAGTGATGTTAAGGGTTTCGTCCCCCCCCTTCTTTTTTGCCAATTGAATAAACTATTGTGAGTTTTATTAGCATCAATTAATTTAAAGAATTTTTTTAAATAAATTTATTAGTTTTTTTAAAAACATTTTCAGATGCACTGATTTAACAATTTAACTGTGCATGTCAATATCTCAACTAATTTCTGTAATGAATATTAATATTTTTTTCTTGTTTTTTTTTGTTACAGAGATGTTTTTCTTTTTCTTTGTATGTTATGCAAATGTGTTTTTTTTTTACTTAAAAAGCTCTTTTTAAATGCTAATTTATTCCAATATCTTTTATTTTCCTCTCTATGTTTTGTAAATGTGTCTTGTTTCATTTAAAAAGTTCTTTTTGAATGTCAACTAAGTCCGATATTTAACTCAGGAATTTTCTCGTCTTCCAAAAAGAGTTCAGACTTTCAAAAGTATGAATTTAACCTGACACAAAAACAGCAAGTTTCTTTTTCAAAATGGAAGATGAGGGAAGACAGGTCATCAGTAAAAATCCATTGACATGAGCTTCATCTCTCCTATCTCTTCTGAAATTTGGTTGATCGTAAAAGGAGGATCCACATTAATTTTCTGACAGATTTTAATTAAGGTTTTCATCGCTTCGAGATGCTGTTTATAGTGCCTAAGCCTTTGGAAAGTTTGCATACCACTTAAAAGTCTGTTGAAGCATTCGTTTGCTGATTTTCCAAATTTCAAGATGCTGAAGAGCACCCAAAACGACCATGATCTTCAATCATCTCACCATGTTTATAGCTCCTAAAATTTTTGAAAGTTTGCATGCGTCCTTTTGCATACCACTTAAAAGCCTGTTAAAGCATTTATTTTCTGATTTTTCAAGCTGCGAAACGAACTTCAAACACATTCTTTTTTTTCTTATTTGCTACAATGCCTTCGCAGGTGGAACAAAATAACAGTAAAAATAACATTAAGCTCAAAAGTTAACTAACATAGTGTTCAGAGTTGTTTCCTAAAGATCTTTACTAATCCCATTAAATGATAGAACATTTAATGGGATAATGAATGAATGTTTTTTTAATGTTTTTTAATATTTTTTTTTAAATTTTTGTTCTTTTTGGGTCTTTCCATGCACATGTAAATATACAAACATGTTTGCAACAAAAAAACGAAAAAAAGTAATTAGAGCTATTTAATATTTATACTAAAGAACAGTTCATCAATATTGATGGCACTTAAGATTAACTTAAAATTACAGTGCATATTATTTGCACTAAGCTAAAATAAATGCAAATAACTGAAGCTACGATGTACCCTACAACAAGTAGAATTCACCGCAAAAAGTTTACTTGTATAACCAATAAAAACTTGTAATTTGGAGTGTCACACAAGTTGATTGACCTGTTTTGATGGAGTTGTTCCTTGGAATATTACAGGTTTAACAGGCAATTTTAATTATTTAAATAATTTATTCTGTGCTGTGTAGTGTATAATACTAATTCTTTTATTGCCAAGTTTCTACGATAAAATGTATTGTAGTTCTTGGTGTATAAATATGGTAAATGTTAATTACACTTTTACATGAATAGAAATTGCTTTGTATTAATTATTATGAACTAAGCTCAAAATATTTCTTAATAATAGTAATAATATGAAACATAGAACTATTATAATGGTTTTAGTTTCTGATTTTGGTTAGATTTTATTAGTTTAGAAGAAAAAGTTTTTACTATATTTTAAGTCCTGTTTTTTCAATTACTTTAATTTTTTCAAACTAGAAATAGGTTTTGTGAAGTTTCATTTATAGAACTTTGATTGTTTATTTCAGACTGGCACTGGAGCATATTTAGCTGCTTTACCACCTCCAACTTTACCAAAATTAGCATGTGGAAAAGTGAGTATGATTCTCTTGATGATAAATTTTTTGAAATTTTACTTGAATTAAATGTTTGAAAAAACTTATGGGTTTGGTCTGTTTTCTATTAGTTCTATGCTCTTAAATTTTTAACTCTTTGTTTTGCTTTTATGCTATGAATTTCATTAATTCTAAATTCTCTTTTTAGTTTAAAGAAATTTTCTTTTTATTTCTAACTGGCTTTTTTGAATATTCTGAGTATAAAATTTAAGTAATTTAAAATTACCCATTAAGGGCAGGAAGGGTAATTCAATGCTGAGATTCTTCAATTTTGTGATAAGCAACATTATGGGGACAATGTGGGACTGTTTAACCACTATGCTATCACTTTTTTTAAAGCCACATTTTTATTAATGGAAAATAAATTAAAATGGAATAGTGAAGGAAATGAAATCTGTGTTAGAGAATTTCAGAAGACTAATATAAATATCTATATTTTTATTTTATTTTCATCTCATAATAAAAAAATATTATTTTATTTGTATCTCTATAAAGTAAAAAATTCAGTTTTAGAAAATAATGATTAGTATTATTTTTTTTAAATAAAAATATGCAAAGTTTTTCTTTCAAATTACTTGATAATTTTTTAATATTTTTAAATTTTTTTTTAAATTGGTAATTTATTAACAACAGTACTTAAAAATCAAAAATATCATATAAATTGTATAATACTTGTCAAATATTATGAAATTTTTAGATTATTTGATTTCTGAATTTTTTGCTTTAAAAAAAATCATCTTTAATTTGACTAGGTTGTTGATGAGAGAAAGATGTCGGTGGTTCAGAGACAGATCCAAGAAGCTATGGACAAGAATAGAGAGTATTTTGGAATAAAGTTACCTTCCATGGTAATGTTCAATTATTTCCCCTTCAAATTCCAGCCTGTTGGCAACTGGGTTATTAAGCAGCATGTTGTCCAATAACTTATCGCAAGACAATTAGAATGCTGAATATTCTTCTATGTGGGCAGTAGTCATATCTAGTCTAGTTGAGCATAAAATGCTCATAGAAGAGAATTAAATGAGATAAATGGGCTTCAAACAAAAATCTAAAAGTGGTAAATCTAAAAGAAAATTAGTCCTATATGTATGAATACAGTAAAAGCTTCATTATAGGAAATGTGGGAATTCAATCTTGATAGGTGAAAACTCTGGATATTTGAGTGTTGTTGAAAATCTTAGCTTTCTGTATTACTTTAAATTCCAGGAAAACATCGCTACTTAATAAGGACCAAAGTTTATCCAAATTGATTGGTGGAAGAAAATCCTGGTTGAATTGGAAAAAAAATTATTTTTAATGTTGTTGTTGAAGGTCATTAATTCACTGGGGGTGCGATTGTTCTTGTTTTCCAGTGACGCCATCCATGGTAAAGAATTCAATTTCTGCCACACCCATATGCTACACCTGTTTACAGGGAGGGGGGGACCCATTCATACATCCATTCATTCATCCACAGATCAAAATTTGAACCTGATTCAGGAACGATCAATCTCCTATCCGGTACCCCCAGAGGTATAATTTGTAATGGGAACGTGGAGGACTTTATGACCTGATAGATTTAACGTGTTCCATTTACTACATGGTGAGTTGGGTGCAAACTGCTGTTCTCACAAACATGAGTTCAGCACTCTACCCACCAGGCTATCCCGCCCCAAATGATTTTTAATTCTTATCTGATTACTATCTTTTTTAATTTGTTGATGCTAAAATTTTCAGCTTTCCATACTAAAGTATTTACTTAAAAAAATTCCTGATCAGAATAAAAATGCTAAAAAAAGATCCTATAAGAATCATTGCTTATAGAAAGTAATAAAGATAAAGAGGCAAAAATTATAATAGTTGCTTATAAAAAAATGTTAAATAAGTAACTGACTGAATAATAGTTATATTAAAAATAAATTTAAAAAAATGAAATCGCGAAAAAAAAGTAAAAGAAACTGAAAGAAAAAATACTGTCTTTAATTTATTACCATCTTTTTTAATTTCCGAATTCCAAAAATCACAAAATACAGTAACACTTCAAACGTACATTTCAGTGCATTTTTAAAATTCAGTAAAAAAAAAGAAAAAGAAAATATATATTTCTTTTTTTATCTACAGGATGACTCTCACCAATCTATGGGCAAAAGTGAAGATGGTTATAGCAGTGAAGAAGATTTACCTGATATTGATTTGTCAGCAGGCAATAAAGATGCTTGCATTTTAGAGGCAAGTAATTTTGTTTATGTTCTTTGCTGTATTCTAAATAGTAACTTATTTAGTTTAGTCATGGGGCAGAGTTCCCATCATCCTCATGAGGCTTCAGTTATAGCATTTTTGTTATACTTCTATGTATTATGAAATGAAATGTTTATAATAGTTTTTAGTGTCTATCCATAAATTATATGACATATTTTTCTATATATTTGACCTGCTCTCCTTTTTCTTACAATGTGTCACACTTCACCATACGAACAACCACGCTTTATTATGTAAACAAATGCTTGCAGTTTGGTAACAGAACACTTCTTAAAGATAATATTTAAAATTTTAGTTTTTGAACTTAACGTTTCTTATTAAAATTTGTAAGCCTGCTAATAATAATTTGATGTGTACTTTTTTTAATGAAAGAGATATAAAACAAATAATAAACAAACATTTAATTTACTAATTTCAACTACTTTTATTTCAACAAAAATTGAGGCACTTTTTATTATCCTAATAATTGTTGTCACTAACTGTCACAATTTCATGAACCTCCTCCTAGTGTGTCATCACTAACATTTTTTTGACAAATCTTTATTCTAATGCTCCAACTCAGTAGTAAATAGTTATTTCCCTACCTTTGTTAAAAATATTTGTTGTCACTAACTGTCACAATTTAATGAACCTTCTCCTAATGTGATATCATTTTTAGACAGCTCTTTATCCTAATAATCCAACTCAGTAACAAAAAGTTATTTTCCTTTCTTTGTTAAAAATATATTTTTTGTTACAATGATTTAGTGAGATTAAAGTTGTATGAATTTTTGTGTATTCAGTGTGTCTTATTAAAATGTAACACACTATTTCAATGACACTTTTATCAATTATTTATTTGTAACTTTACATTTTCAATCTTATGATTAAATTTAGATGAACTTTGCTAACAATTTTCAATTTAAATTTATGTAGGTTGATGATGCAGATGATGTTGATATTATTTCTCAATTAATTGATCCTAAGGTACCTCCTGGATTTGATTTATGTAACACTGAAACTTTGCCTGGACTTGATAATTTTATGTGCAATCTACAAGTAAGTATAAACACATACAATATACTCAAACCCATGAAGTTTACATACAAACTGAGTTTCATGATCATTTATACTCTTTCATTAGGATGTTTTTATTTTTAACAGGCAAAACAATTTAAATATTATAATGCAGTGGTGAGGTACCTGCAACCTTGTAGTAAACTTGCATTTAGTTTCTAGTGTGGTAATTTAGCTCTTGTTATAATTAATATTTAATTACATTGATTACAACAATTTGAAAATTAAGAGAATTAAATAACATGCTGCCATCCATTCGGCATAACATGAATTAGAATGCTGTTGTGATGCAATTCTATCAGACTTTCATAGTTTGAAATTATTGGCATTCTGGTGCACTTTTCAGTTTGCCAACATATAACAATACAAATTGTTCTATTTTGGCCATGACTCCCTCTACTTGAAACACATTAACCCTATCCACTAGTCTTTGTAATGGTGGCTGTTCTAAGAGACAGACACTACCTACATCTCTCCTTCAGCATTCCCATATAAGTTATGGAGTTGGGGATTTGTATATACATGTTACAGATATGTACATGCTTCTTACAGTTGTATTGCTATCAGCTATTGTGAAAAATCTAGTTATTGCTTTATTAATTCTGATATTTTACTCATACACGGTTTTATTGTATTTTTATTAAGTATACAATTTTTTCAAGATACTATTTGATATTCATTTTTTCAACAGCATGCCAAATTGTAAAAGAGGAAAATTATGTGAGGAAAACAGAATAATGCAGAGATTATTTCTTTATTAAAGTGAAAGATGAAAGGTTGCGTTTATTGTGCTATACACTTTTGACTACTTTGAAAAAAGTGAATGCAAATAAGTGAATATACTATTTGATTCATAAAGAACATAAATATATCAATTTAAAAGGCAAATTTTGATGAGAAGTATTTAGTTTACAATAATTCTTCTTCATTATTTTTATTTGAACAATATTTAAATATATGTTGCAGTTAATTAAAAAATTATTAAATGTTAATATAAGTTGTTGTGTTATGCCACTTGTCAATACTGACAAGCTTATTTTAAGGCAGAGGGGTATTATAAGTTATTAGCCTTCTGTGAATACAAAAATATTTTGTTTGAAATTTTTATTTTAACAAATGACTTAATGTTTTTTTTAATAATTTCTGTATAATGCAATAAAGTGATAAAACTATAATAATTTCTAAAAAGTTGCACTTATATGACCTCCATTTATCAGAGTGTAATTTAAATGTGCCCCTCTCATTTTAAAAAGGTTTTCCCTCTGTTAAATTGTATGCTCGCAATCACTTAGCAAGTATATGTGTAAAACTGCAATTGAAGTGAAAAATGTAGAGCAAGGAGAATTGTAAAAAAAAGTGGAGAATTTGATCTTGAGTGACACTTTTTTATATTCTTATTATTAATATTCTTTTATATTGTTAAACCTTTTCTTTTAATTCTTCATGTATGGGCTCATTATTGATATGATCATAAACAAGGTATCCATCAAAAAAGTTTTTATCTAAATAAGATAGTTTATACTGTAAACAGAGAACAAATAAGATAAGCCATTTAAATGATCTTTCTTAATGTTTTATGCCTGTAAATTAGTTAAAGTGATCATGTTTATCCAAATATATTTTGTTCTATAATTTATTTACTTTAATTTTACAATTATGATCAAAATACTATACGTACTGGGTGTGTTACTATTCCCACTGACACCTGGAAGACTTATAACAATCAAAATATTACCAATACATCAACAAATTTATTTTACCTGATAAAGGAACATCACAAGTTTTTTTTAAAAACAAATATTCAATTTGTGAACCTTTGGTGATGCAGGTGGCTTCAAGTTCAGTGTCAAATTTTCACACTCGCTGCAACATGCCACAATTAATGTAGAGAATATGATTGTTGTACCTCTGTCAATTTGCTGTAACTGTGGTCTATACCTCAGTTGCTGGAGGATTATGTGTCATTAATTTTTCAACAAATGGTGCATACCTTCTCCTTATGAATGTGACGTGATTTCCTAAATAGCGAACTTCCTTGACGTTGGATTGTCCTCAGTTTGGATAACAATTGACTTATTTCATGGACAATATACTCTCCAGACTGCAGGGATGAGATTTTTCCGCTTTTTAGCGGATTTCCGCTTTTCTCACCTTTATCTCTTGAATTTCAGCTTTTTTATCAAAANAACAAACTCTGAAAAAAAAACGCATCTTCACGAAAATAAAAAAGAAAGTTAGAAGGAATTAAAGTGCTGAATAGTTTTCCGAGCGGTTTACGGAAAAGTGGATTCACAGTGAACGCCGTATGGTACGCCATCGGACGGCGTTCCGCGCAACCGCACTAGCTCGAAAACAGGCTTGATATGCTGACGTCACTTCTCCTAAATACGCCATTCAATCGGAGTGAGTGAAGTTTTTATACTAGGCAACCGGCTAAATTGAGCCAGCGCGTAAACAACTCAACTCATTTTCCCAGACAAGTGTTTTTGTTATGATTTAGCGTAAAACGTGTTCTATTCGTATTTTTTTTAACAAGATATATGAAAAGTTTTTATAATGAAGCGAGGAAGAAATTTAAGGGGAGCGGGTGGCTCACGGAATAGCGATTATTATATGAAGCGTTTACTCACGATCGATAGTATAGGAACGAAATCAATTAAAACATTTTTTCAGTCTGAAAAAACTGAGGAGAAACCGTCACAACAGTCACAGTTGATAACGAGGCACAGTGTATTAAAAATGCTACGGAACCAATGATTGAAGAGCAAAACAATTCAAGTTTTGTTACAGAAAAAAAAAAGTTTTTTTTTTTTTAATCAATACTTAATTTTCACAAAAATAAAAAAAAATTTCACAAAAATAATTTTTTTCACAAAAATAGGTACTAGGATTGAAAACCTGGATTAAGCCCTGATACCCTCTCCTTATGAATGTGACGTGATTTCCTAAATAGCGAACTTCCTTGACGTTGGATTGTCCTCAGTTTGCATAACAATTGACTTATTTCATGGACAACATGCTCTCCAGACTGTGAATGAATTAACTCAAAAGTCTGAACAATTAAGTTTGTTTTGAGAGATCCAGTTTCAAAAAGTACTTCCTGAGTACAATTCTATTTTGTGAATTGGTGATTACAGGGTGCATAATGCTTACAATAAATATGTATTTACTAACTTGGGGTTGTTTAAATATTATTTACGCACCTAATGAGGGAAGAGTGCTTGTGATTTGCTTGTGCCCTGAAAGGATTGATGGAGGAGTAGGAGAAATGCTTACATAAAACATCCCCATATTTTCACATTTTTAAAGCAAAATAAAAAAATTTAAACAATAAATAACGCATGGAAAATTTTCAAATTTAGTTAAAAAGCATAATTCAAATTTCTCATCAGAGTTTCAGAACTTAAATTTTGTTTTTTGCAAAATTGCATCTTTAATTTTAAATAAGTCCTAAAATTAGGTTTTTAAAGTAAAAGTTAAAGCAAAAATAGTAGGATGTTGCATCTTTCTTATGTAAGTTTGAGAGAGGGTTTGTGATTTGCTTTTTTGTTCAGACAACTGGGGAATCCGAAATTGCCGAAAATATACTAACACTATATTTGAACCACTTTTTTACCGCATTAGCAGAAAATAATTACTTCAACTATTGTCTCTTTTATAAACAACTTTTTTTTTCTCCATATATATGAACTTTATTTTCGTCTAACCAAAATATGGTAATTTGTTCATTATTTTCATAATTAAATATTAATTGTCATGGCTATTTATAGTACTTGTATATACTTGTAATAATCAGTTTGGTAAAAAAATGTGTAGGCTTTAGTTTTAAGAAATAAAAGTAATGATTTATGTTGCAGATGTTCACTCGCATTTTTCGCACAAAATTTTCCAGTCCTCCCAATGGAAATCAAGTTTCTAAAACATTTGAATCTGTCATTAAAGTGAGTACAAATTTAATACAAATTATAACAGCTTCTAGAAATAATAAATATTTTTGTAAATAATAATTTTTATGAAAAATATATATGGTTTAGACATTTTATTATAATTTTGTATTTTTTAATTTTTATTTTTAAAATTTCAGTTTTGACTTTGATATTAGATTCCCAAAAATCATACTTTCTATATAGGTATTAAACAATGTTTTAATCTAAATTTTTTAAATTTATTTAGGCTTTTATTAAAAGTATAAAATGCAATAAAATAAAAGGAGTATTTTGAGCAGGTGCATTTGTAACAGAATTCACATCTTGTTGCAAGTTTTAGAAATTAAAATTAGTTACTTACTTAAGTTAACGATCAGTATTTATTAAAATCTTCTAGATCTTGATAAAAATATATTTCAAGAGAGTTTATAAAGTTCAAAATACCTAATAACTATTTCTATTTACTACATATTTTCAAGTGTGTGAAAAAAAATCAAGTTTGATAATTTACAAGTTGATTCTTTTATATGTTTTGTAACTTTTCTGATAGCTTATAGCTCGAAGATTAACTATTTCTATTGGTTTGTGAAATAAAAATACATTTATTGTCAAAAAGAATTCAAAATTTTATTGTAGACTAATTTCCAAACAATTGTCAGTTGACTTATATATCCTAAAAACTATAAAAAATTTCTTAAACATACATCATACCTTGTTGATCAGGAAAAACAGTCTTAACATAATTTGGAAGTTCAGAATCATAAATTATTTGTGTCAGAAAATAATGTAAAAATCAAATGAAATTGAAAAGACAATAGTCATATAGTTATTCCATACACTTTTTTTCTCCTTACCTTATACTATTTTCCATACACTAGGCTGATCTTATATTTGTGCTCTATTTTCACACTAATTGAAGCTGCTATATTATTCACATTAAAAAAGAAAATTTGTAAATTTTGTTAGCACAAAGTTTTAATTTTATTAAAGTTTAAAAAGAAAATGATTGGCCACTAGATGGCAGTAGCAATTATGTGTAGAGAGAGCGTAGAGGTGCGCGCGAAATGAGCCTGATGTAAAGAATGATACAATTACTGATGTCTGTAAATATTGTTTGTAAATAAATTATTAATATGCTAAAATAATCAAGCTCTTACTTCCTCCNGGCCAAATCTAATGGCTGAAGCGCACTTGTGCAATTTGCAGGAAAAAAGAGAGCTTTTACATTTTCCAAAATAATTAGTATCGATGGGTGCGCTGGACATTGGTCGATGAATAGCAAAATATTTTGTTTTTGCCTCTTCATAACATTGTCCAGTTTTTTCAGTCCTCTAGTAAAAATTACGGTCGTCATCCAAGCATTCTTGTTGGCACCCTTTTCTGCATCATTCATGTTGGCAAATTCCGCCCTTTTTTAAAATACACAAAAAGAAATAAAAAATTAAATAAACATGAACAAAATCTAAAAACCGACGTATAACCGATTCTGTGCGTCGTATAAACGATATATTTTTACATTAAAATGAATAGGAATGATTTGGGACCACACTAAAACGTCGTATAAATGTAAAGGTCGTATAAGTGATCGTCGTATAAGCGATGCTCCACTGTAGTTATTCCATGCACTATTATACTCAATACCATATGCTATTTTTCATACACTAGGCTGATCTTATATTTGTGCTCTATTTTCACACTAATTGAATCTGATATATTATTCAGATTAAAAAAGAAAATTTGTAAATTTTTGGTTCGAGCACTAAGCCACACAGTGAATGTGGCAATCACATATCTATAGAATATATATATATATTTTTTTAATAAGTGCCTATAAAAATATAATTGTGTGGTATTGAAGGTGGTTAACTTTTTATGAATACCATATTTTCTATAGCCAATTTATGATTATTAAATGTTTTAATGCATTATTTTTATAGATTAGAACTTCAAATATAAGGTGAAACATTTTAAGTATTGCTTTCAAAAGGGTAGCAGTTTTATTTTATTGTAATTTCCTATTTCAGAGTTTATTTGTTAAATTAAGAAGATTAGTACCATGCTGTCTCACAAATTTAACCTTTCAAGTTGATCTGGTTGAGCAAGATGAATTACAGGTTTGATAATAAGAATTTTCACTTTTCTTTCAATTTACATTGTATAACCCTTTGATGCAGATGGGACATTGGTGTCATCTAATTACGAGCTAATAAAAATATTTTGGTGTTCTTTAATTATAAAACACATTCTCATAGTTACTTATAAAAATCTGTTCGATTATCCGAATTATATTGCTCTAAAGTATAAAATTAAAAAGAATAGTTAGAAAGAGGATTTTTTTTTTACATTCATATTTAAAATTTCATCAATAATTGGTTTTGTAAATTAAAGAAATCTCAAAGATGAATACTTGTTTCTCTTAGATTTAAAAAACAGCAAATTGGAAAACTGGTTGTTTGAAAGTGAGCTGTATTTGAAAGATTTTACCGTTAACACAGAAAAAACCTCGATATTTCCTAATCATAAATTATTAAAATGCTAAATATAATATTTTCCACTTATTTTGACCTAAATTAATTCAAATTAATAAAAATTGTATAAAAAATATGTTTAATAAAAATTCTGCATCAAGGGAATTAGAGACGGCATGTATGTGGTGTCTCTTAAAACACAAACGTATAAGAAAAGATTGTTCTTTTATAGGATGCTTCTAAGCAGGAAATTTGTTTAGTGTAGCACCAATAGTGATGAAACAGTTGTCTGTCATTAACTTTCTATCTTTGTGCTTCTTGAATTGCTCGTTAAATTATTAGTTTTTTTACACAATTAGTATTATAAAGTTAGGCAGAAATTAAAAAATAAAATTCACACATTAGTTTTGATGTGCATCCATATCATCAAAATAGATATTTGCAGTCAGATTTTCATATTTGTTTATTGTTGTTTAATCTTATGTCNGATGAATACTTGTTTCTCTTAGATTTAAAAAACAGCAAATTGGAAAACTGGTTGTTTGAAAGTGAGCTGTATTTGAAAGATTTTACCGTTAACACAGAAAAAACCTCGATATTTCCTAATCATAAATTATTAAAATGCTAAATATAATATTTTCCACTTATTTTGACCTAAATTAATTCAAATTAATAAAAATTGTATAAAAAATATGTTTAATAAAAATTCTGCATCAAGGGAATTAGAGACACCACATACGGCATATATGTGGTGTCTCTTAAAACACAAACGTATAAAAGAAGATTGTTCTTTTATAGGATGTTTCTAAACAGGAAATTTGTTTAGTGTAGCACCAATAGTGATGAATCAGTTGTCTGTCATTAACTTTCTATCTTTGGACTTCTTGAATTGCTCCTTAAATTATTAGTTTTTCTACACAATTAGTATTATATAGTTAGGAGGCAGAAATTAAAAAATAAGATTCACACATTAGCTTCGATGTGCATCCGTATCATCAAAATAGTTATTTGCAGTCAGATTTTCATATTTGTTTATTGTTGTTTACTTTTATGTCTTTTAAAACCAAGCATTTCTTTTCTTTATAATATTAAGTGAATATACTTTCTGGAATGGAAGAATATTTCATAAAAATCGAGAAAATGAAAATTGTGTCAATTTTGTGTTGGATTTAATAAAATATTTAATGATGCAAAATGGATGCTTGCTTGAGGTTTTCAAATAGTTCACATTTTGTATATATATATATGAGCTGACTTTGTGAAGAATTGAATTTTGACCCCCCAGTGGGAACTTGTAGTCCACCCAGCTTCAGATCGATGGGTACCAGCTTGTCTGGAAAATAAAGGCTGCATGTGCACAGTGCTGACCACATTGCCACAATCATGTCGTTGGTCGCAATGAAATTGGGGAGCTTTAACTGCTATGATCGCTCTGGCCCACTACGGACTGTTTGAAAATATGTTTAGATGAGAAATTTATTTCTATGTGTATATATAATAAATGATTCCAATTAATATAAAAAAATTTATTTTGATTTATAATTTGAAAATTTATTACAAGATTAACTGTATAAAAATACTTTTTCAGCGTAACATTTCCCTAGAAAATTTAGAATTGAACATTGACTCCAATTTTTAGTTTAGCATGTCTTGTTTTTTTTATTTTATTGAAATACGATTGGTTGATAAGTGTTGAAATAGGTTTAATCTTTATTCCTAGCTGAATGTAATTTTTTAAAGTGGAATAAGTTTACTTGGAACTAAAATTGTATTTTTTTTATTACAATTTTAATGACTATTATAGCGTTTTAATGTTAAATTAAATTACTTAGGGTGTTTTACAGAAACCCCTAAATTGATTAACCTTTGCCAATATTAAATATCTCTTTAGAGAAATAAATGAACTTATCTCATTTTCAAAACTAATAGCACGTTTAATCATCATATAAATTTTAGTTTATTATATACATATATATATTTGTATAATAGTAATATGTATATTCAAAAAGTATTCTATAACAATTTTTTTTTACTTGTTTCGAGTAACTATTATTTATTGTTTGTAGGTTACTGTTCTTGGAATAGCTATTGGATTAGGAGAATTCAACTCTTCTCTTAATAGTACAGGATGCAAACAATACAAACAAAGTACGGTTTTGTATGTTTGAAATATATTTAAGTGCTTTATTATAGGTATTTTTTCATTGATCTAAATTATTTGAATTCGTTTATTTGTTAAGTTTAAATATGAACAAAACTTTTCTTAAAAAATCTTAAAAACAACGATAATTTTGTACATTAGTACATTATATTAGTACATTATAACAATTGTAGTACATTATATTAATTATTTCATAACAACATACTATAATTAACTACAAATATTTATTCTAAAGAACCATAAATAATTTTATTGTTCAGAATAAATGTTAAGTAAAGAATTCGTTTATTTTGGGATGAAAATTTGATTAATTTTAACAAGCAATCAAAATCTACAAAAATAAATTTGCTATGAAATACATAGATGCTATTTCTTGTTTACAATAAATGTTGATTTAAGAAGAATTTGTTTTGAGTTTTAAACAGGATTATTTTTAACAAAATAAAACTTGAGACAGTAATTAAAAACCAAAATAATTTTGTTCTGAGATAAAATGTTTTTATTTTCAATGCTATATCAAATAACTTAAGTTCTGAATACAATTAACTAATTCTATTAAAAGCAATTACATACAATTATAATTTTGTTCTGAGATTTCACGTTTCTTGCTCACAACAAATATTGAACAAAGTAATAATTTAAGTTTCAAATCTTATTAACTTTAGCAACTTAACATAGTTTAATACAAAAGTAATTTTGCAAATTAAAAAGTAATTAAGAATGTAATTTAAATTTTACGTACCATTAATAGCCTTTTCTTGTTTGCAAAAATAAGTAAATAAATATAAAGCTTCAAACCTGATTAGCAACTAAAAGTAGTTTAATACAAAAATAATTTTATGTTGAGATACATTATTAGGATTTATTTTTTCACAAATAATTTTCAGAAAAAATAGAAAAATAATTTAAGGTTCAAACCTGATTAATTTTAACAACTGACAGTAAACTGATAAATCAGATTATTTTTAGCGTGTTTTTTTTAATACTATTTTGTTTATAATTTAGATGATTCAGAACTAATGTTCCACATGGAAGTAGAGAAAAGTTCAGAAGCTGCCCAGCCTTTGAGTAATAACATTTCATAAATAAATCAATTTAATATACTTGAAAATGTATGATGAATTTTTTTTTATTAAACATTAATTTATTTTCAGGTTTTAATAGAAAACCACTTCATTCCAGTGACAGAAGTTATTGTTATCATGTATGTATGTTAAGTTTATTAATTTTATTTTGAAATCTAAAATTCTTTGTAAATAAAATTTTTTGCCCTGCTACCTGCATTAATCTGTTCTAAGAGTGGATTTTTCTTTACGTTTTTATGTTTTGTTTAAGAGAAATTAGTAGTTATGTCATTAGTTTATGAAAAATCTAAAATTATTTTTCACACAAATGTAGTTAATTGAAAAAATTTATTTGATAATTTAATATCAAGGCAGCATTAGATCTTTTAACTTTAGTTAACTAATTGCTTAAACTGAAAAACATTTCAAGTATTGGAAATAAAAACAATACTTATTCATTTTGTTATTAATTTAATTTTAGAAATTGATATCAAAACTATATGAACTAAACCAACTTTTTCTATATTAGTTTTAAAAGAAAATAGATGCACCCTGTTTGAAATAATTTGAATTTGATAGGACAAAAATTCAGGTCTTTAACCTTCTCATAAAGATTTAGCTCTTATATCACACAAACTCCAGTACAACTCATTCAGAATTTTGTGTATTTGAATGTATACATCTACATTCAAACCTATCATTTACAAATTGCAATGCAATTTAGGGCAAAATTAATGGTCACCATTGGCCACAAGATGAAAAAATAATTGCGATTAAAAAAATTGTTTGCCAGTACCCACCTGATCGCCATTTTCTCATCGAAAATGCATCTCATGGTCATATTGTTATTTTAATAAATATGGAATTATGAATATTTAAAATATTCTGAAAATTATTTGATTTTACTCTTGTCTCAGAAAATTTTAAAAGTAAACTTTGTAATTTATTATCTTTTGAGAAATGCTGCAAAAGAAATGCCTTACATTATTAATATCAAAATTTTATTTATTCGTTTAAAATTTGATTTTTTTTAAAAAAAAGATGACCATGTATTTTAAAAAAGTCGTCATTGTTAAAAAATACTACAACTGGTCTCTAGTAAAACTTCCGAATTTTGCCCTATATGAGACAATATTGATTCTGATAATTCAAACAACATGGACTATACAAAACATTTATTTTTAACGTTTGTTGTTAGTTCTAAGGAAAAAAAGCCACATTTGTTGTTTTATAAATGGATGTTTATTATTTAGATGTCTCTTGGAGAGCACAATGGTGTTGATATAACTCCTCTTACCTACATTCCTGGAAAGAAAATTGAACAGTATCTGGGCGATTTGGATTTCTTTTTCATTCGAGAGAGCAGTAGCATAAGAGAAGTAAATATTAAATTTTTCTCTAAAACCATATTTATTTCGGAGCAAAATATTTTCAATTTAATGAACTTTTAAAATTATAGTAGAAGAGCTATCTAACACAATTCTCCATGAATTACGTAGTTATTTGAGGATGTAAACAATGAAAATTGCAGCTAAGAAATTTCTGTAACTAAGCAAGAATTATTAACTTTTTCCACTATTTGTTTATTTTTTTACTAAGAGGTTTACATTTTCAAAATTTTAGCAAACTAAAATTGAGAAATTTTTTTATTAGTTTCCATGGTCTAGAAAATTTCAATTTTTTTCTTTAAATAAACAATATTTAAGTACATATTTTTGAGTTTTTAAATATAATAATTGTATCTAAAAATTATTTTAAAGCATTTTAAGATAGGTCTGTTCTAGACTAATATTGCCATGTTTGGTAGGTAAGTTTAAAAGCATACCTGCCAGCGTTGGAGAAATAAAATAACTAAGATTTTATAAGTGACATTTTTTGGGCTACGAGAAAAATTTTGATACATCATGCATAATCAAAGTCAAAATTGGAAATTATCCATTTGCATTTCTAGGTTTTCATTATAAGATCTGCTGTAATAACTTTTCAAATTATTGTAATAACAAAATATATCAAGTAAATTTTTTTTTTGTGAGAATATATAACTTGCTTTATGATTGAAATGTGTTATTTTTATCAATCTAAAAAATATTATACATAAGAATATTCTGAGGAAGTGAATTGCTAATTAAAGAATCTATTTGTTTAAACTTGTTGTAATCAGTTGAAGCTTTTACAGGATAATAACAAAATGTAAAAAATCTATATCTCTATTTAATTAATGGTTAGGTAGTTAATTCTTAAAAATAATCAGATGGTCAGTGAATTATTAATGAATTGTTTGAATTCACAACTATGTTATTCATTTTGTGAACTCAAGTAATATTTTTTATTTAGTTTGCCAGTTTGTTTAAAATGGATATTTTTTATTGTTTCAGAGTGGTGGTTTGAATGGTTTTATTCAAAGTTTTGTAGCTGAAACACTCGCCATAGTGAGGGCTCATGTTTCTGCCCTTGGAGGCAATGCTATGGTTGGATTTCATATGACCCAGTGCATTTTACTCCACAATCCTCATAAAAACCAAGTAATATTATAATGCTTTGTTTTTTTATTTTATTTCTACACCTCTGGAAATTAATTTAAAGATGCCCATAAATTCTTGTTAATTCATTAAAATTATTTTCTGTGAGCTAATGATGAGAATATATCTTCTAATTTTTTTTGTTTTCCAGCTTTTTAATTTATATTTTTCTAATATTTTATTTTAATAATTTTTCTTCTCTTTTCATTAATCTTTATTATTTTCCATGTTTTATCTATATTTTTTAACTTGGAAAAAAGTGTAATTTTTATTAAAATTTATTACTACATATTTTTTTATTTAATTATTATAACACATCGTGGACTTTATAAATTTGCATAGAAAAATTCTCTTAAATTTTTTTTTATATTTATGGTTAAACTTCTTTGAGTAATTATTTTTACTTCATATTTTTTTTGCTTTTTAGCTGTGAAACTATGACATTTTTATAAAAACCGAACATACCTTTTTAAAACCTTTCCTATAACTTTATAAAACTTCGTGTAAATGCTCTATAGGTTAGTAAGGGTCTTACAAGCTTTTATCTGACACATTTCAGTTGTTTTAAAATAAGTCATCCCTTGCAATAGAGAAGCAACTTTTTTCTAAATTGATGCCATTAAAGCAGTAAACATTACATAGCATTTAATTAATCCATAATAATTTTTTTGATGACAATGTTATGCTGTTTCATGTTGATGTATTTAAATGTATTTCCATGGATATATGTGATTTTAATTATCTTAAAAAAATATTATGTTAAATAATGTTTCTTAAAAAATTATTGATATAAGGCTATTTCTAATTAAATTAATTTAATAAATACAATGTAATTAATGTAATCAATTATTTCATTCCATAATTTACTGTTAGAAAAGTCATGTCCTTAAATTAAATTATAATGATTCATTATTCATAGCTGTCAACTCCACTGGATTTTCCCATAGACTACTAGATTTTACCTGTTTCTGGTCTACTGGTTTACAGAAAATTCTGTTGGTTTTTAATTTATTAAAATTAATAATTTGGTTTAAATAAGTATTACTAATATATAATAAAGGGAGCCTGTTTTATAGAAATCAGTTTAAAACTTTTTTGTTCTAAAATGTGCTATTTATTTTTGTTCAGAACTTCTTTTTTTAAATTAATTAAAAACATCTTTTAATTATTTTTGATAAATTAAATACCTATTACTATTCAAAATCATGAGTAAACATACATAACATTTCAAGTATACTTAATGTCAATCTTACTGGAAAATATTGGAGTCTTTCTAATTTGATGACTATAAAAATCCCTAAAATTCCCTACTTGTAAAATATTTAGTTCATTATACAACAATTATCTTGAAATTTATATTATTTCTAAAAATCTACAAGATTTCTTCCTATCCATGTTGTCAGCTATGATTATGACTATATTTATTGTGAATTAATAACTATAATCATGTCATAATATTAATTATTCATTTTCAATTAAAATAAAGGGACAGTGTCTAGTAAATGTTGCTGGAGACGCAGTGTTCGTTCAGTTGCCAACAACTCAAGTTGCAGATTGTGATGAGGTAAAATTAGCCAATTTTGAAGTGCAAGATTCCTATGGGCCTTGATCATCACAAAAGTATCTTTCAAATCATTATTTTAAATATGTACATTAATTATATTTTAGATAAAGCAATGTAAAATCTGTACATAATGCTCTTTAGTATTTTTGTTTGTTTGCTGTTTTTAAAATTATTTATTAGAGTTTTTTATGAGGAATTTATTTTATACAATTTTTCACATTGCATTTAATTTGTAATTATTTCATCACTATCTACATTTGGTTTCAGTGTGTAATGTTTATCATGTTAAGTAATGAAACAAATACATGAGATTTATATTTGTTTAATTACTGTAATTCACGATGATGGAACCATTTTTATTTTTCAAAAATATGTTAGATATCTAATCTTCTAGTTATAAAGATTTGCAACAAATTATATTTATTGAATTAATAGAGTGTATTCTATAAATATTATTACCATAGACTAATTCTGCCCCGCCCAAAAAATCTTATTAAATTGTAAAAGATTTCAGCTTAACATTTAGCTAAATGCCTTGCAGAATGAAATGTTTAGTTGCAAATCATTGCAGTTAAAAATTTTAAACTATTTACTTTTTATTTCTTCATTAATTTTGAATTGAAAATGTTTTAGGAAAAATACAACTAATAACCCCCCAAAATAAATACAACTAATTATATACATATATATGCTGTGAAAATAGTCCACATTTTAAGAAGATTCATATGAAACCAAACAATATTTCTTGTTTTTAATTAAAAAAGAATGTGAGAACCAACCGTAGTACATTTTTATTTGGGCAGTGTTTTTTGTGAAGTTAAAATTAAGCACTATGTTTTGATGACTTTGAAATGTTAAAATACTTTTTTACTTTCACTAATTGTGCTGTAAAATGTTATATCTTACATAACCTGATAAAAAGTTTGTGATATATTAAAACATTACTACAAATTTAATTTGTAGTTATTTTACAATCAATATTGACTTCAGTTATGCTATTTATTAAATTAAATGTCTAATTACTTGTTTTATTGTTTATGATGAATTTTAATTTGTTTGATTATTCACCAACTTAATGGTGGAATGGGTTTAAGGATGTGTTTATAAAATAATTTATTTTTATGTAAAGTTTAAATTATAATATTGTAAATTTAATGAATGTTATTTTGTTAAAAATTCATCAAAATTTATCTCTTTTTTATTATAATAAAATTTTTTTTAATAGTTATAATGATTAGGAACATGTAAAACTTTAGTGTAAGAACATTTTTACAATTAAAAAAGATATATTGTAATGATGGATACATTTGATAATATGTATCTATTCCTTACTGCCAGTGCCTATTTAAATAAATTATTATAAATTTTCTCACTCTTGAAATCTCTACGAGTTTGTAATATAAGTAAATTTTAAATACACATAGTGTTTAGCTTCTGGGCAATTTATTGTTAAATAAATAAAATTTGTCTTTGTAGCTTTTCCCCCCCAATTATCTTAAATTACTACTTAGTAGACTAAGTATAAAACTAATTCTTATAAATCTATATTTACATATAAATTTTGGGCAAACTATCCTAAAAGTTCCTTCTCTGTAAGGAATTTTAATGCAAGTTTTTACTAAACTATAGAAAAAGTATTAAACATTATGTAACATATGATAGCTCATTCTTAAATTTGAGGGTATTTGAGTTCTTTTTTCATAAGGTTTTAGAAGCATTTAAAAATTGAAAATAATTTAACCGAAAATAGTTTTGCATTTAAGAATGCTAAAATTTAATTTATTTTTTGTAGTTTATGATAATTGTTTTTCCCATTAAGAAATAATTATATTTAAACAAATATATTTTGGGATTTGAAACCTATTAATCTTCATTTACTTAAATATTTGTGTTTTCTTATTTTTATATCTATGTTTTAATTTTGTTTAAGAATGTGTCTTCAGTAATAATTTACTCTTGTTTTAGTATTCAATATCTCTGTATTAATTCATATTTTACTATGCAGGTGAAACATGTGATAAAATTTTATTCATTTTAATAGTGCTGTGATATTTCAATGTGAGACATTTTTGTTTTCAGCTTCCAAATTATCTATTTTATTGTCATTTTTTAAAAATGTTTGCTAACTCTGCATAGTATCTTATTCCTTAACCTTCACGTTTTGTCCAAGATAAGAATAGTTCTGTTATTCCTTATTAAACTATAAATGAATATATGTTAGAAAATGTATTTTATTTAAATAACCCAAAAACATGTTAAGTAAGATTTTGTATTTGTTAAGAGTTTTGCAGTATTAAAAATATAGTTTAGTAACAGAATTTTTAATTTGTATTAGTAAGAATCAGTTTTTATACAACATGTGTTAAAAATAGCATTTCCCTTTCTTCGTATCTTCCCATATAAAATTTTTTTTCTTCATAATAATGAATTTTCTTTAAAAGTTTCCATAAAGCCTCTATTTCTTAATATGTTTATATTAAAATATTCATTTGACTACAAGTAGTCAAAAAGAATGCTTGCTATCCATTTAAATTGTGTTATGAAAATGAATAAAATTAAAATTACGAAAATTTAAATTGTCAAAATATATCAAAATCAGTTCACGATTTTCAGATGTTTGTGCTGAGAAAAAATATCACATTTTAAACAATCTTTAATATAAATACATATTTAAAGAACCTTTATTTCATAATAGTTGAAGAAAAAATATCACAAACTTTTAACATAAGATGTATAGAATCTACTGATTTTTATTTGAACTAATTTTCAAATTATTTCTTCAGTGTAAAACTATTGATTAATAGCAAATTTATTCTGATCTCAAATAACATTTTAACTAGTCAAAGCAAATACTCATTTACTGCCTCTTTTTTTTATGAAGGTAGTATTCTTATTTTTACAATTTGTTATTATCTCAAGATATGTTTTTTTTATTACTTTTATGAAGCATTAAATATTCTTTTTAAAGTTTTAGTTTTATTTTATTCAAAAGTAAAAGATTGTTCTGTGCTTTTTTTCTCTCTAAGAAGATATGTTATGCCATGGGGAAAACTTTGCATGGCAAATCCTATTCTACCCCCACTGTTTATTTAAGGTTTAGAGAAAATAGAGTACAGGTAAACCCACAGAAAAACCATGGCATTTCAAAATATCAAAATGTAAACAAATTATGACAGGATTTTGCAGTGTGTAAGTAATCTGGCGAACATTTATTATTATTATTTTTTTTGTAAGCATTTACTCTAAATTTTCCAGATATCATTTTTCTCAAAACTGCCAATCACTGGTTTTAGTCTAGTTCTTACTGTACTGGACTACTGGGCCAGTAATTGTGGGTTCGAATCCCACTGTAGACATGAATGTAACTTTCTGTGTTCTATGTCTTTTTTTCTGTGTGATTGTGTGAAAGTAATCCACCCTATAAATGGGTTTGTGGTTGTATGACGTGGGCAACAAAACTCCACCGCGGTGGCCTAGCCACAGATCCCCACTGGATAACGATAAAAGAGTAGCAATTCTGGCATTTCTGAAGCCAATGGGAAATAAACTCAAGTACCCTTGATAAAAAAAGAAACTTTTCTCTAAACTTTAAAGAAGGTGAAAAATAATTAGCCATGAAGAGTTTCTCAAATTGTTTATCACTAGTGATAAAGTTAATTTACACAGCAGATAGCCTCTCTAGGTCTTATAACATGGTATATATCAGAAGAAATATGGAAAGCTGTTTGTAAAACTTTTGCTTCAAAGGAACAGCCATTTACTATAGAGGATTTTCGCTCGCAAATACACAGAATGATTGGCAACCATGTGGCTCGTTTGTGAGAGGTAAATATGGTTTATATGTTATTTTTTAAGGTTAAGATAACCTAACATCCTATTTAAAATAATCCTTTACTGCGAATATAACATTATAGATGTTTAAAGTGTAAGATACACACATTTTTGCATAATACCAATATGATTTTAAAGGATACAATAAAGTTCTCCTTCAGACAGAAAAACCATTTTACTTCTCCCTAAAGAGAATTATCTATCCAGAATTTTCTCATTTATTATTTGGTTGCTAACTTTTTTGTTTAGTTTTAATCGAATACATTTTAAAAGATGAAATGAAATTAAAATTTTTTTTCAGTTACTTAATAAGGAAATTCCAAATATATAATAGTCTGTAGAAATAAAAGGCTTTTTCTGTCTAAAGGGGAACTGTGAAAATTTCTGAACAAAAGATGGTTTTTATCAACTATGTAATTTCTACGGTGAGAAACAATATTTCTCATAATGTCTTTGTTTGAATAAAATAAAACTTATTCCAACAATAAATATTTATTTTTATATAAACAGTATGTTAGTTATTCAAAATATATTTACAAGTAATATTGATTGTCTTATAGTAACTTCAAAACTTGATTTGGATTTACTAAATCAAGTACAAGGTCTTCTACTTCTTTTTGTGAAATGTTTAAAGAAGTTAAAGCATGTTCACACAGTTTAGTAAACTCAGCTTCTTGATACAAATCTTTCAATTTTGTTTTAGTTAATCTGAAATGAAAGGTAGTCTTAATTAACATTGTAATTAAGTATGAAATTAAGCTTCAATTTAAAAATGGAACATTATCTGCTTGGTAAATTTTGTCCAAAAGTATTGGTATGATGCAAATATACAAATGTAAGATTTAACAAAATTAAAGTTTTTTTGTGGGTGGGAGATTTAAAAAAAAAAAACAAACTTTTTTTCTCAAACAGTTTTATACCTCATTAATTTTTTAATAATACAGTCAAAACCCCGCTATAGTGAACATTCAAGGGACCGAAATTTTGGTTCACTATATCCGTTCCGCAGGCAATTTAACTAATGGTTCCTAAACTCCTCCCTTTTATTATTTAAATAAACTCGACATTATTTAAATAAATGACTGAAAAATATTTTTTAGTAGCGAAAAATGTGTTATTTTTCATTACTCTTCGTCTTGCTTACAAAAAAAAAAAGGAAAATTTTTTTTAGTAATCTTTAGCTGATGAGCAATCCTGACAGAAAATTCATATTGATCCCACTGACACCTTACAGGTGCACTATCTGCCAGGGTTGGAAATATCTGCTTGGTTTGTTTAGGGATGGGAAAGTCAGATAAAAGAAGCTTATCGCTAAATTCCCCTCTATAGATGGTTTTAAAAATCGGTATATGTATTTATTTTAAAGTAAAAATTTCAAAATTATTACTAAAAAAATGAAGAAAAAAATCAGTTGAAGACAGAAAAAAGTTCATTATATCCAACTTCCTCACTTTTTTGGTTCACTATATCCACATAAAATAACATTATACGTGTATAGCAAGGCACGGGACCTAACATTTCGTTCACTATAAACCGTGTTCACTATAGCGGGGTTTGACTGTACTTATAAAACATGTGATAATTTCCATTAAAATACAATTGATACTTTGAGGGAAATTATTATTAGTTGTAAAATTCAGTTCATTATTTTTGCAATAAGTTCTCCAAAACAGGAGACTTTAATTGTGTATGAAATATAAAATGGAGTCTTAATAAAGTTAGCTGAAGAATTTTACTGGGTAATATGTGATTGGAACCTGACCTGGAACCATCATCATGTGTTGAAATGATCCAACATAATAAGTTTTTTCAAATAAAGTCACACAAAATAATTGCAGAGATCACAAGAAAGGGCTTAGCGGAAAACAATGTTAAATTCACTTCAAGTGTCTAGAACATTTTCATAGAATAATAGATAACCAAGATAGAGTTGAACAATATAAATAAAACACAGAAATGGAAATACCATAGTTTTATTTCCCTATAACAAGAACATGCCTCAATGTCTAACAATAGAAGATTAAAGATATTAAAATTGGTGAATAAATAAATAGTGTTTAACAATTTTTAGCAAGAAAAAAAATTCAAATCTATGATTACCAGCATATCTCTTAATATTCTGATTTTGGACATTTCTTTAAATTTAAGAATGCCTATAATTTGTTCAATATACTTAAGACCACTCTTAAGAAGAAATTCCCCAAATACCCCAGCTTTAGGGTTAGTGAAATTTATCTTGTTTGCAGGGGAAAATACGACTTTACACTCAAATTTATTCAAAATATTAGCAATTTGGGGACTGACTGTTGGATAAGAAAGTTAATCAAAGTAGAGAGTTTGTTGGATTGTATGCTTAATTTTAATCAGTAATATTGGAAGGAAATCAGAAGTTGACAACAATAGGTAAAGGAGTTCTTCATTGAAAAGAATTTGTACTATTAGAATAGATTTTAGAACCAAGTGTGTATAAGGCTGCTATTTTTTTGTTAGGGGGTGGGATGTAAGGTTAAACGGGAAGAGTGAAATTGCAAACGGCTTCCAATAAACAGTAATGAGAAATTCATCGCAGTTATAAAAGCTGATTTAAAATATATTCACCATAATTCATATAGAATGAACATTTAGGTTGGACTCAACTGTTTAATTTTTTAAAGTATATCATGTCAACTTAAAAATTATAAGGCATTCTTGATAAACAGTTAAAAACATGACCTTAAATAAAAAATAATGAAAGTAACTTACAGCAGGAAAATAACAACAGCTACACATTTCAATTGCTTCGGTTTCAGAACAGTATTGGTTGGTGTCAGGCTATGAAATGAAATTTAAAATTAAACATTTATTTTACATTTGAAACAATGTTATGGTTTAGGCAAAAAGTAAATAGCATAACGTAAAGAGGAAACGTAACGTAACGTAAAGTTTTAGAAAATATTTCACCATCTTTACTATCAACATTTTAACTTAGAATGTCTATAACTACTAATTACTTTCCTTAGTAGTTACAGAAAATATTTTCACCTATGGTAGTGAAGATACTTCTTTATAAATTAGAATATAAATTAGTTGTGGACATCTTTATTTGTGGACAAAATTTTTTTGACAGATATGTATATAAAAGTCAGATGATCATACTTTTAAGTTTTGATAAACTATTCATAAAAAGTCTATTTTAACAGGGTTCATACTAAATTTTTGAAAGAAAATTTCTTGACTGTCTTAGCAACAATTCAAAGTATACACTGTAACATAGCATGCCAGTTCAGAACACATAATCTGGGGCAGCGCTAAGGATTTCAAATTATTAGCCAAATGCAAATCTTAACAATTTTTTATGATTAATTTTACTCCCCCATAGAGCACTATTTTACAGTAGTTAGTTTCAGGCTAATAGTATTTGGACCCAATGTGGCGCATCTAACGAAACTTATTGTGATCGAATAAAAAATACAGATTTGATTAGAAAAATTCATTTTGGCGTAATTTTTAGGATCGAGTTAAATATATATTTTTCTTTTAAGTGGAAAAAAATCATTCGCCAAAACACAACTTTTTTTTTGCCAAAGTTACGATTTTATTGCATTTGGCTATGTGGCGAATGCTTAGCGCAGACCCTGTATAATAAGATTATTGCACCAAACACAGGAATAAAACCTAAAAGCATGAAAAAATTAATGTGTAGTAGATCTTTATAATGCAAACACTTAAACACAAGGCTATGCATTTTATACATGCATGAGATTCTTCTGATGTTTATAAGGGAACTTTCGACTTTCAAACTTTTGTATTTGCCTGCTTAATAGTTTTCATCACTGTATAGTAAACTTAAAGTATGTAAATAATTTAAATATTTTCTTTTTATGCAAAATAGTTGCACATGCTTTATTATTATTTTTTTTTTTGTAATGATAGGCATTTTCATACTTTATGTCTTTTTCGAACTCTCATACCTGTTTATTGACTTTAATGTTACATAGATCATTTCCCAAATCTTTAAACTTACCTACTAAACGTGGCAGAAATATTAGTTCGGAACAGATCAATCATAAAATAGTTTAAAGTAATTTTTAATTACTAGTATTTAAGATTATATACACTTAAAAATGTATTATTTACAGAAAAAATAAAAATTTTTTAGAGCAATAGTACAGAGTGGATTTATCAGTTTTGGTTTGCCCAGCCATCCTCACCCCATCATTTAAAATTTTAACGATATGATTGTTGCATTGTTCAATGTAATCGATTATTTTAAAAATCAGATAAAAGAGAGGATTGAATAATTGTAAAAATTCATAGCTACAAGATTTGTCACCACATTAGCTGAAAATAAAATCAAAAATAAGTATATAACCCCTGAATTCATTAAAAAAAAAATTTGATAATGTAAACTTTATAATTGAGTTTCTTTATCATAAAATGAATGAAAGTTAGAAACAATAAACCCTGTGGTTAAGGCTATATGCCAGAACTATGTATATAACTAGTGGGTGTTCCCTAAATTAGAATTATCAAATACTAGTAATAATAATTAAGGTAAAAAGATGTTGGATCAAGAATCCGAATTTTTTGATTTTTCGAATTGATTGTTTCAAAATACACAGTTGGTGTAAAAAATGGGATATTCTGAAAATACACACACAGAAATCGGGAATATCAGGACATAAAAGCTAAAAATCAGAACAAATAAGGGTAAAATCTTTTTCATCAGGAAAATCAGAACAACTATAAACCATTTATGCATACATTTTTAATTTAAGATATACAAATATTATCTATCAATAATTGTATTTTTTTGACAACTCAATAGACTGAATGAGTAATGTATTTTTTGAATATGAGATTCAACAACATTAAGCAATTAATTCAGATAATAAACTACACAGATAAAAAAACCACCAAACCAAAACCAAAGAAAAAAAACCATAAGAAAAAAAACCACCACAATATTTTTCATTTATTATTATACAGTTAATACAAAAATATAAAATATATCTTCTAGTAAGTAAGCTTTAAGTTGAATACTTATAGGAAATAAAACATTTGCTAGTAAAACTACTTAAAGCACAAATGAGATTAATCTAATTGGTAACAAAAATAAAACAAAGCTTTTTACAACTTACCTAAACGTGTCCACTAAATCTGTAACTTCTTCTTTAATCGTATTGTAGTGCAAGTCAATAATAGGGAGTACGTTTGCAAACCTGAAAGGAAATGAATTTTAAGGAAATGAAAAATATGATTGATTAAACTTTTATCATTTTGCTCTTTAATATGATATGCAAATCAAATAAAACGTAATTTACCTGAACTTTTTTGCAATTTAAGGTTTTTTTTTTCTTTTCCTATTTAATTTTTAAATTTCGCAATTGAAAAAAAAAATGCTTTACTCAAATGTATACCAGAAAAAGGATTCTGTTGAAGCTGGTTTACTTATTTTTATAATATTTAACTATTACTCTTAAACATTTTTTTGTTCTATCTTAGTCAATCTTAAAGTTAATTTAAAAAAAAGAACTCTGTCAAAATACTGATTGCTTTCATTTCTGTTAAATATTTTTAGCACTAATATTAACCTCAACATTCTTATTATAGGTTACCATTCACGGGCAGTTTATTAAGTCAAAATATTACTTAAATTATATTTCAACTAGAAAAAGAAGTGTAAAAATTAATAATATAAGCATTTTTTTCATATTACACTTGTTTGTTTAAAACACATAAAATAAACATAAAAATATGCACATTTTTTTAAAATTCATAATCTAAGTGCCCGATGATTAGTTAATGACTAATATTGATTTAAAATAAAGTATTTTAAATGAAACAAGACACTGCACACAAAAACTTGAACATTTGCAAACCTAGAAAAAAAACTTTGGCGCACCCTGGGCTGTCGAGCCAATGAAAAAGAAGAATAAGATCAATTTTTGTAAACAAAAGATGTTAATACTAAAATTTTGAGTAAAAAAGGTAAACTTCGAATAAAAAGTAAGAAATTAAATAATGAAACATAAAGAAAAACTTACAAATTTAAATTTTTCTGTAGTACAATATTTTATACTTACATATTTTTTAGGTTTGTTGTTAAAATTTGCTTTCTCCGAATACCTTGTGACAGAGAATCAATTAAAGGTAGTGTAGGTTCAGGTAATGTTGACTCAGATTCCTTAAATTTCAAAAATATATTATTGAGATGTAAAGAAAATAAGAAAAACAGTCACCTTTTAATGAAATTGTTCTTAGAATTAAGCTTTAAAGTAAATTACAAAATCAAATATGTACGATCAATGTTACACAAATGCATGTTTTCTTCTATTCTAGGAACCCTGAAATATTCTGCATACAACTGCTCATCTTTTACCATAAAAAAATAAGGTTACTTATTTTTAGTATAATGTGGAAACAACTAATAAAATCAGTGGTGGGAATACAGCCAAAATTTAAAAATTGGTTTGCACTGAGATACATACTTTGCACTTGGTATCTTCTAAAAAAATGTAGAAAGTTGTTAGAAGATTTTGTTATAAAAAATCCCACTGTTATTTATAATTAACAGTGTATCAAAACACAAAATTATCAACATCAAAAACTGATTAAATATAAATACTTATTAGACTATAGAAATGGACTACTCAAAACCTAATCTTTAGGCTATAAAATTTGTTTCCACAATTGCATGCAATTTTAGTAAAAGCTAAGATAATAAAAATGACTCAAATTGTACATTTTTTTTTATTTTTAAAAATCAAAATGCATAAGTTCTTTGTAATGAATATGAAATGTCATATTTTTAAATGAATGTATAAAACTGCTTAGCTTTTTAAAGCTATTTATTTAATCAAAACATGCTCCATTTGAAATACACTTTTTTAACAAGATTTTTTTTGCATAGATACTTGTCTTAAAGAAATTCTGATCTTTGAAATCAATTAACTACTTATTCACCGGATTTTTCTCCGACAAACTTTTTGATTTTTATTTAGAACAATTATTATAGGATAAATAATATGAAATGAAGACAATATCAGAAAATTCAGGATCAGAGTCGATTGATAATCAGAATTTCTTTAGGACAAGTATCTATGTATTAAAATCTCATTGGGAAAAGTGTATTAAAGTAAATGGAGCATATTTTGATTAAAGCTCCAAGGGGACTCTAACCCATGATACATTCACCATTGAGGATATTTTATGTCAGCACTACGGTCGGCACGAGCCGGATGCAAAATTGGTATCTAGTAGCCATGGCTGGAACCCAGCTCACCTCATTATAAGGCAAACGCTCTATCCCCTGAGCCATCACGGCCTCTGGTAACCGTATATTGGAAGTTAAGAGGGGTCTCAACTGAAGATAGAACTCCAACTCACAACCTTAACCACTAAGCCATGGCGGCTCAGTAACAGAAATTTAAATAAATTAACGACAAATAGTAACTATTTGCACTTACTTCAGGCAAATTAATTGGTTTTGAAGGTTTGGTGCCGGAAGCAAATGATACATTTTTTCCTTTACTTTTTCTTTTTACTTTCCTTTTAAGGTTAGTTTTAGTTGCTTCTAACTTTAAGTCCGAAGCAAGTTTTTCCATTTTTTCCTGTTTTGTTGCACTTTCTTTAACACGCTTCACATCACAAATGTCAGTGTCGAAAGTTTCACCGATTTCATCTTCTTCTTCTTCATCCGGAAGTTTATCAATCTTTAAACACAGATTTACATACTCTTCTTTGACAGCTGATATATTTTCAGCAGAATCGGTAGAGTTCACTAAAGTTTTAAATAAGTGATCAGCTTTAATAGAATAGAGTTGCCTTTCACCTAATAAGTATTTTAGTGTGTCTTCTGTGTACCAGTCTTGAAAAATTTTGGCGATGAAATTGATAGGAAGCTGTGCACTATTTGTGGTGGGTTCTTGAGGCGCTCTTAACTGTGGTATAAGCACAGCTCTCTTTCTCTTTCCAAGTTCTGTAGGCATATGCTTATTAGAATATGCGGCTATGTTGCCATATTCTGGAAATGATGGTTTATCATCGTCCTCATCACTATCGGAACTCTGGGAATCAGAAAGAGTTTCCTCATCAGAATTTTCAGGATCTTTCACCATTTCTGTGCCAAATATAAATTTTTCCCTGTTAAGAAAAGTAATAATATCAAATTATGCTAATTGCCTAGTTATTTCTATTATGAAAGTCAATACAATTAAAGAGAGGTATTATTTAATAGGGTGCCAAAAACGTATTTAACCCAGTTACTAAATATAATTATACAAAAAACAAAATCAAAAACATTTATATATACTGTTGAAGATCAAGGATGCACAATTAACTTTTTGTTAGAAAATACTAAGTTCAGACCAAAATTGACATAAAGCTCTAAAAATGTTGTTCAATTCAATAAAGCTCTATTAAAAGTGTTAGATTCAATTTGAAAGCTATATGAGTGAAATGCAAAACTAAAAAAAAATATACTAGGAGCTAAGCCTCCTGTTTGCTGACGCTCACCAACCCCCGATGATTGCTTCGCAATTTTTGCTGTTTCTTGGCATGAAACAGTTGAAAATATTCAACTAAAAATATATGTACTTAAGAGGACACTTATCCCGCCACTTGCAATGTCCAAATATTTCCTTCCCTTATACTATTAAGATCTATAAGTGAACATAAATCATTTTTTGAAATAACATTTAAAATTATAAGTATATTGTTATAACAAATTTGGTGAGTTCACAACTATAATTTAATATTTTTGCTTACCATACGGAACGAATGTATATCTTAAATACAATTTTTGCATTCATCACTTTGTGCATGCAGCTTAAAGNTAGTTATATATATACTATTAAGATCTATTAGTGAACATAAATCATTTTTTGAAATAACATTTAAAATTAAAAGTATATTATTATAACAAATTTGGTGAGTTCACAACTATAATTTAATATTTTTGCTTACTCTACCGAACAAATGTATATTTTAAATACAATTTTTGCATTCATCACTTTGTGCATGCAGCTTAAAGTGAAGTTCTAAATCATTTAAGGAATCACCTAACTGTAATTCATAATAGTATATTAATGTAATTTGTAATGGTGAATGATAATAGTAAAATGGTTAATAAGATCAGACACCGATTTAAATAACTTTATCTTAAAATATAACATAGAATTACGTTACTCTAACAATTTTTCAGATTTTTTTTTTTAAATAATTTTTATTGGTCTATTCAGCTAAACTGGCAGCTTTGCCTTTTATAAATTTAATTTAAAAATGCTGTTTTCTAAAAATTTAACATTTAAAAACATCATTGTACATTATAAGCAATCTGAAATGTGAAAATGAACAAAATTTCATTAAAGAAGTATAAATTACACAAAGATGTTTTTTTTTTTTCACCACAGGAAGTGAAGGTAAAAAAATTGAAAAGTTATAATTTATGTATCAGATAACAGTATAAATGAATATTGATTAGAGTGTTCAAGGATTTTTTTTTATAAATATACTATATGAATTGAGATTAATTATGATTACTAAATCATATCAGTAGGTTTAGAAATAAATAATTCAAAAGTAAAAAGATAAAATTTTTAATAAATAAAACAAGATTCATTAGGAAGTTGTCTTATAAAATACTAGCTAGCAACTTATAGACGAGTACATTATAATTTTCATTTTATTTTTTCAGTTTTCAATTATTTTCAAAGGCTATTTTAAGGCACCAAGTTTTATAATTAAATAGAAAATAATAATAAATTGAAAGCACATTTAAAATTTTTTCACCCTTTTGTTATGGAATGTATTTTAATCATTACATGTTTAGAGAATATCAGAAGGTTTAATATTAATAAATAATTTAAGTAATTATTTCTGACCTTTAAATCTCAATAAGAAAAACATAGAAAACTAAAGTAGTAAAAATATTTACAGGTATAATAATAATAATAATAATAAAAAATCCTCTCCAACTTTAAAACTTCACAAATTATCATTTTATGAGATGATATTACTGATGAAGCATTTCATGCTTATTTAACCTTGCAGAAAAATGAAACTTTTTCACCGTCCATACTAAGTAAGTTACAGTGACATTGGAATATTATATACATCTCTTTGATATTTTATAAGGTGGCCACTAACACTAATGAAAAAATTCTCTGATTTTCTTTTTGTATCCTGTGGCAGAAATTTTATTATTAATTTTACTAATATGCTTTACTCTTATAAGATATATCTTATATGATATATTAAAAATTACTTGTTATTAAAATTGAAAATAAAACATAATGTCTTGTTTTTTAGAATAAATTATTACAAGAGCAATAATTTTGGGAAAAATATTGACCTTTTAAATACTGTTAACTAAATATTATTTCATTTTTCTCGACTGTTTGAGCATTTCAATTAAATTTCCTAACGTTTCTCTGATTTTTGCTAACTTCTATAATTTTGGAAAAAAATATTGACCTTTTACATATCTCAAACTAAAGATTAGTTCATTTTCCTTGACTTTTTGAGTATTTCAATTAAATTCGATAACATTTCCCTGAGGGGACTCCGAAAATTCCCTTCCTGTTGCCACCCTGTATCAACATATTTAAATTAAATACAGAAATTAAAAAACAAACATACTTATACACTTTTTCCTTAATATTTAAGCCAACCAGATGTTCAGTACAATCTTTTATGTCTTCCTGGAGCATATTATTTAAATTCATAGTTGGGATTGGCTTAGGGTCTTGGTGAAGATTTTGTTCCACTTCAGTCTTGCTGAGAGTATATTTGAAAAGAAGTTCTTCTCCTGCACTGCCTCTGAAGATAAAAAAAAATACTGATAAATAATTTAGCAAAAGACAGTTCTAAGTGGAATTTTTTTTTGAGAAAATTGAGATTTCTTGGGAAAAGGTCTTATTTAAGTATACAGTTTTATAGAGTCTTCATATCTTCAAGATGTTGGTAGAAAAATTTAGCATGATTTAAATCACAATTTTAAAAAAAAAATCAAATTTAATTCAAATTTACAATAAAACATTTTAATATAAGATTTGACAACCAATCACACTTTGTTGGGGAAGAGGGAACCAATATCTACCATTGTATACTTCGAAGCTTAGTGCTCACATAGATTTACAAACACACACATTGCTATTATTATTTTATAACATGTATAGGGATAAGGAGATGAAAATCTTAAAGGTAAACTATGCTTCTCTTAACAAAAAACTTACAATAGTACTTCAATAAACCTTTAATAAAAAACCTTAATAAAAGCTTTAAAAAAATTGCCTTTGAATAGCAATTTATATGAAGACAAATTATAACATAAAATATAAATCCGAGACTTTGAAACAATTGCTAATATAATACAAACAACATTAAGTGTAGCATCTAACGAGCTTATGCATCTAACTTAGCTTATGCATTAGCTTAGGCATCTAACGAGATTATGATGTCAAAAATTTAGCTTACTGTTTATTAACCTAGCCCTCCTCAAACTGGGAGTCGCCCTAGTTCCAAGAGCCTTAAGAAGAATTAAAAGGTGGAAGTCAAGTTTGAGTTTAGTGTTCACAAAATGTCAGACAAGTCTATTTTTGTTTGAAGTTTCTCTCCTGTTTCACCCCAGGGTGGTAAGATTTGAGAGGGAAGCGATTTTGCTATTCTTGAATGCATCTTTTGAAACTATTTCTCACATGTACTTTTAGATTATTAACACAATATGTATTTTCTGACAAATTTGATTGCTTCCATACATTTTAGAGATCCTGTATAATGTTTTAGTAACATTAATTACACTCTGAAAATTTTTACTAAATGAAAACTAAAACAAACTGCCATTACATTGCTACTAGAAAGAAATTTTATCTTTAGCATTTTTGCTGCTAAAAAGAGCTTTTTAGAATTCCAGCAATTGAAATTAAAACAAATATGAATAATATGTATCATAGCAATATTCACTTGTTTTCAGAATCCAACAGAAGTTTTAATTCCAATGAAGATTTTTCAGGTTTTCTTAACCAGAGTGGTAGAGAATGTAACTGAGCTTTCAGAAAATTGGAGGCTTTGTAGCATTCATTACTACAGAAATTCTAAAAAAAGAAAAGTTTCTTTTTATAAAATAATAATTCACATCATGCAATGATACTTGAAAATAATTTTGGTAAAGATATCCTATAACAGAATTTACAACATGATTAAAATAACATTCTTTTAAAGTGATTATAATTGCTTTATAAAATAAGAAGTAAACCAAAATTGTGTTTCCGAATTTAACTTGTCTTAAAGCTTAATTTCATTAAAATACAGCAAGTAAGTTTTTTTTAAAAATTAAATACAAAGTGCGCATAAATTCCATATCCCCCTTATAAAAAGGTTGCAGCACTAGTAATAATAGTGTCTAGCTGCAGTAAAATGGCTATGTGTCACTACATGAGATTGCTTAGAGCAGTGATTCTCAACCTTTTTTTTGTGACGGCACACTTTTAACGATTTCTAAATTTGACGGCACNGGCTATGTGTCACTACATGAGATTGCTTAGAGGATTACACGGTGAAAAACTTCAGCTTTCCCACTCTTATTTATCTTGTAAATGGTTCAAGACAGCATAAATAAGTTGTAGGGCAGGGATGGTGAACCAATGGCACGCGTGTCATTTATGGCACGAGACACAATATTTTGGGCACGCTACCGATCACAATTGTTATTATACTATGAATTGTTATTACACTACGAAGCAATGTAACAATTAAAATAAAATTCACAAAAAACAAACAGAATAATAAACAATCATTNAAAAACTTCAGCTTTCCCACTCTTATTTATCTTGTAAATGGTTCAAGACAGCATAAATAAGTTGTAAGGCAGGGATGGTGAACCAATGGCAGGCGTGTCATTTATGGCACGAGACACAATATTTTGGGCACGCTACTGATCACAATTGTTATTATACTATGAATTGTTATTACACTACGAAACAATGTAACAATTAAAATAAAATTCACAAAAAACAAACAGAATAATAAACAATCATTAATAAAAAAATTAACAATTAATGCTAAAAAAACAATTAATAACCATAAAAAACAAGCTAACAATAAATAACTAGCAAAAAAAAAAAAAAAAATAACAGTCCTGCTTGAACTAACATCTTACAACCTAATATAAGTTATTTGTCATCTAATCTGCAACAACAGAAGTCACACTATTATTTTAAGTTGTTTTAAGACATGGCAAAGTGTTTTTTTTTTCAATGTAAATAGAGTTTTGAGTTGATTGTATTTAGTATTATTTTCCCAATAATCACGAAGTCAAAATTATTAGACGGCACGTCTATGACCTCATTAAACAATTTTTTTAGAAAAATTGGTACACTGGTGTATAAAGGTTTGCCATCCCTGTTGTAGGGTATCACAAATTCAGTATGGATGTACACTTTACAGACATTTAAGTAAGAAAAGTTGTTAATAAGAAATTAAATAAGAAAAGAAAAATTTACATTTGTTTGATTGAAACTCCCTACCTTGTGACTGTAATCTACAGTTTTAGGAAGAGAAAAGAACAATGATATCTTTGTTTTTGATATGCAATGAAAAAAAAAAAGTTTTACTCAAAATTAATTTACAGTACTTTTCAAAATGAATTTACAGTAAGATATTAAGTACTAGCCACCTCCAACAACTAGCTGATTCGCGTACACGAACTCTCCGCTTTGCACTTCCACATTGTTTTCTATCTTTACGGAGCAGCAGTCTCACATTAACTCTTCGAGAATTATTTGTACAGGACAAGAAACCAAAAGAAGAATTGTTAGCATAATCTATCTAAGAGTATTGCATACATTACTACAGCTACCACTGTTTCCAAAATTATGGGAAATAATATAAAATATGTTCTTCCTTTTAGTTAAATTTCCTATAACTTCAAAAAATAATTAAAAATCATCTAATTATTTTTGTCTTGTATCTTAAATAAAAAAGGAAAGTTAACTATATATGTTCATCTAAATTCAAAGTTAATATCTCTTACAAAATTATGGAGGTCACAAATTGAAACATTTTAAGGGAAAAAAGATGATGAAAAAGTTGGTTTCTCAAATTACTTAATTCGTTTACAAGAGTCCTCATTTAGCTTCATGCGAAATGTCTTATTTTTAGTGCCTACGGGAACCCACTACCCAACAATTATAGTTATTTACTAAAAATAAATATCAGAAAATAAATACATATTAACTTGCTTTGAATATTCAAGAGAAAATATCAAAAACTATGTTTAAGACATTTAGAGACAATCTTGTTTAAAATTATCATTTTTATTTTCAAAAAAATGACAGCATTAACACAGTCTTGTAATGATGAAGTTAAAAATTAGCGATTGCAATTATAATTTATTATGTATGAAAATTCTGAGAAAAATATGGTTTAAATTTTTTTAAAAACAAATTTAAAGATAAATTAAATATCACAATAATAATTTTATTATAATTATAATATATTTTTTAACAAGTGAATTAAAGATTAAAAAATATAATAATAAAAAAAAAAAGAATTGAACTAAAAACTACTAAACTAAAATAAAAAGCAATCATTGAACTATTAACTGACTAAAATTTTAGCATTATTATAAAATGCATACTTACCTTTCTCTCACTTATATCATATACTTTATTTTTGCTAATTTTAAACTGCTGCCGTGGAACCTAGGAGGATGAAAAAAAAAAGTTTGATCAGCAAGTTTTAATTGGATGCAATATTTATAGTACATATGCAAAGTAATTTTTATTGCACACAATTCATGAAAAATCAAAATTTCAAAGTGCAAATACAATATAGAGTAGTAAATAAATGAAACACAATTTAGGAAATATTTTACTGATTATTATTTTAGTACTCTTTTAAATTAAAATGGACATGATGATGTATTTAAAATACATTATCATTAAAGTGATTTTTATACATGCTAAAATGCACACAAGTACAGCATTTGTTTCAAAATTTGCCAAAGATATTAAGTTATAATTTGAGTGACCAGAGTTTCACAGTATATAATGGTATTTTAAAGCATTCAATTTACAATTTTTGCCAATTACAATTGAACACATAACAATTGTTTCACAACTGAACACATGAAAATAGTTTTCTTCCAGTAAACAATTATAAAAAGGAATTAATAAATGAAAACAATTAATTTAGCATGCTTAAATGCAATAGATTATGAAATGTAATAGATCATGTATGCCCTTAAAATATGCAAACTACATTACATTTTTAATGGGATTTGAACACAATGGATAGCCACATAGGTGAGTGATACTTCGCTCTTGCACCACATCATCATAGTCAGCCTGACACAACTTTGAACACTAAAAATAATTGTTACAAGTTTAGCCATGCAATTTTAGAAGAAAAATTTTACAATGTTTTCAAATTGCTTTTTTTATTTAAAAAAAAAAGAAAAAAAAAAGAGGAGATTATATGAATATTTTAAAACATAACAATGGAACTTGTGAGTGGTATAGGGAACAAGAATAATAATTTTCATTTGATGATTTTGAAAATTTTTAAACTTGTAGAACATTTATAAACTTGAAACAATTGTTTGAAAATTTTGGTTTCAACTGAATTGACATTTGAAAAAGAGATAAGATATAAACAAATTCCAGTTTTTGTTATAGGTCGGTCATAAATACTTTAACTTTGTGTTGGACAAAAAAGACATTAGTTCTGCTTTTCTGAAGAACAGAAAAGCAAAGATTTCCTTTGAATTTATTAGTTTCCACACAATGAAAATATGAACTTGCAGATAAAATGAAATCGAGATATTTTATGAAACTTAACATAAAATTCATAAATTAGAAATCAATAAAGGAAAGAATAAACAAGATAAGTAAAAAAAGACAACATTACGTTTTGAAGAAACCATTCTTTAGAAATCTCTTCTTCCAACAAAGCTTCTACAATTTTTAAAGTGTCCCTTTTTATTTGTAAGATTTTTTCTTTAGATCTAAATTATATAAAGAGCAGAGTTATTAACAGATTTAATGTAAGATGACAGATATGTAACACATATGAGAATCATCTGACAAACAAAAATATAGAAAAAGAAATAAAACAGTCACACTTTGTAGCTAGTATATTAAAAAGTAAATAATTATTATATTGTACAGTCCAGTGAAGTCTTATTGTTAGAGTAATTGAGCTGAGTATTGTTCTGGTGAGCCAACTACAATCGCCAAGGTGCCAAATAGATTTTAAACTTGCAATTTTAAAAACAAAAACAAGTAGATGTTTGCCTGGAGTGTGGCTACGAGTTATACCTTTCAAGTTGGTTCCTTTCCATGATGTTTTTGTTTAATTTCCAGTGGGCAGCTGCCCGGAAGTTGCCAAGACTTGTCGATTATTCTGTCACAGATTCTTTGATACGGAAATACCCCCTTAGATTACAATACTTAATTATCCCCTTATATAATATAACCTAACGTGTGACAAGGGAGTACAGTGAAGTGTGACACTTTATGACTATGTGAATAAGAGGTAAAAAATATTGAAAAAAAAAATCATTGATGGACGGTCAAGCACATAAATAAAGAAAGTAGGGATGTAACGAATATTCGGCCCTTTTGCCGAATATTCGGCAAAATTATAAAGTATATGCTATTATTATGAAGTATATGCTATTATATACGCCCGGTGGCTGAGTGGTAGCGCTTCGCGCTGCCGTGCCACAGGTCCTTGGTTCGATCCTTGGGCCGGGCAAGGCCGANCTAGCCGAGTATTCGGCAAAATTATAAAGTATATGCTATTATTAATTATGCTGCTATTATTAATTATTTAGATTTGTGAAAGCCTTATTGTTGGCATCAAGATATTTAAAATATTGCAAAAAATACATCAAGTTGTTAAATTTTTTTTAAAATATAGAGAGTTTAAAAAAGCAAATTTGTTAATATTTATTTCATTTTTAATTTAAAATTTGAAAATTATTTAATTAAAAAAATAAAATTTCAAAAGTGAAACTTTTTAAAAAGTTCTTAATTTTCTGAGTTTTAATGGAGGATTCAAATCAAATCCTGACAAAAAAAGAAAGTTAAGAATACATTTAACAGTTGTATGTAATGAGTTCTTATCTTAAATACAATAGCATATAAATTACAAGTATAACTATAACTTAAATATGCTATTATTAATTATTTAGATCTATAAAAGCCATATTGCCTTGTTATTGGCATCAAGATATTTAAATTATTACAAAAAATAAATCAAGTTGTTAAAATTTTTTTAAACATACAAAGATTAAAAAAGGCAATTTTGTTAATATTTATTTCATTTTTAATTTAAAAATTACTTTAATTACAATCAAAAGAGAAATTTTTAAAAAGTAAATATTCGGCCACCGAATATTCGGTATTCGGCCTAAAATTTGGCCAAATATTCGGTATTCGGCCCATCACTATTCGTTATTTCACTAAAGGAAAGTAGGTAAAAAATTACAATTAAGTTCTCTTCCTATAACGGCAAGTTTTTATGCTTTACCTGAAAAAAATGTCTAAAATGTTGAATTTTCTAACAATAAACAATAATTATGTTGAAGTTTTATTAACTATAAAAGCTCCAAAGTACAGTGCCTTATTCAACGGGCAAGCTATTCTACAAACTAAATCCACTTCTTAAAATTTACGTAGCAAATTAGGTAGCATGTTAATTTAAAGACAAATCTTCGTTATTTTGAATTTAAAGGAAATATCTCCGCTTAGGTTTCAAAAGACAAAAGAGCTTAATGATTTGACGCATTCACTGTATTTTGCTTCAAAAAGAGTCAGAACCAGTAACTTAAACAAATGTTTTAAATTTTAGGAGGAAGTAGTAGAATGAAGCAAAATTTATATTGAATTCTCATAAATATTCTAAAATAGTTAGCAGAGACTCAGAACTTCAACATTATTTTTTTAAAATATACATAAAAATAAGATGAATATCATGCAAAGAATACATTTTATTAATTTTAAAATTAATATAAGACAAAAGTTGTCAGAATGCTAGAAAAGAACTTTATTTAAAACTTACGGAGACTTTTCAGGAGCCATCTTTTGACGTTTGTTTATAATATAAAAATCATTGGAAGTTTTAAGCTCCCTCTTTCTGCCCCACCTAATATTCGCTGACAAGATTGATTGGTTCCATGTCTTGATCCTTTCATCCCCCTCTTATCAATTGTATAGGAATGTACTACGATATTTTCCCCTTTCTAATTACTTTTTGCACTTACTTGCGTAAAATACTTTTTTAAAATTTCCCCAACGTTTTCTGTTAGATCTATGTTCAATGTAGCTTTCAGTTCCAATAAGTTCCCAAACTTAAAATTTTTTTAATCTATATTTGAAAATCAAGACAGAAACTAACGTACTTCCTTCGCCTATGACTCTCCACATGCTAATAGTAAAAGCACGTGAAGTACTGCCAAAGTAGAGGGTGCTGCTCCAAAACACATATGTTGACCAATTCGATCGTTAATAAAGGAACGGATGCATTTTGGAACTGCTCCGAAAAGAGCTTATCACTTATAGAATTATTACAGTAGGAGATGATTGTCCTTTATCAATCTGTTTTTTGCCCATTTTCGGCCAAAAGTTCGTGAACGCACCATTTAAATAAATATCTTCCAACTAATACTGTGACGTATATTTTTCATCAATTTTATTTTTCTGCTATTGTGAATGGATTTGAAGATATTTATAAAATATTAATTCAATTGGTGTAAACGCTTTCTGTAAAGAAATTTCTAAAATACCGTAGTTCCTTAACTTGAAACGGTTATTGCAGAATTTAAGCATATTTCAATGAAATGCCTCGTTTTATAAAATGTCTATGCTTGGTTTAAAATTGGTTAATAACAATAGTAAGTAGATTCATTTATTAAGAGTATAACAAGGGAAAAGATAGATAAGAATGTACAAGAATATAAAATTTTATAACATATACAATTTGCGAGAATGAATTTTTATTGTAATATTACTATAAAAATTATATAGCACTAGTGGGCTGCGCCCCCTGCTCGCTTACGCTCGCCAACCCCCAAAAATTGCTACGCAATCTTATATGGTTTGCTTCGCAAACCAAGCTCACTTCGCTCGCTACTAACTTAGGTACATTGAAAATGCACAAAATTCTAAGAATTCAAAACAATCATTCAAATCCATATAACAACTTTTTTTTAAAAAAAAAATTGCATCTTTTTAGTAAATACTAAGTCATTAAAATAAATTTGAATTCAAACAAATGACATGTAATTCGTTAAACCTATTAGAAATGTGCTATAGTATAAAATCTTAAAGCATAACAGCACGACTGAGACTCATTTTTCAATGAATAACTAATAACAATAATAAAACAAATAAATTCGTGATATAAATCAAAAATCGGCAAATAAATTCGCAATATATAAATTCATGAAAAAAAGCGCTTTCGACAAAATACTAAAATAGAGATCTATCGACAAAGACTACTCACTTTTGCCTAGCTTAATAGTATGAGATTGCCGCAGCTGATGCTCTCTCAGGTTATTTCAGTTTCCGTTTTTAAAAGGGCTATACGTTGAGCCACCTCAGCTAGATTTGGCATGTGACTTTTTAGCGGCAATCATTGGTCGATTTTCTAGCGTTACCATTCGGGGAGTTGCAATGAGGCTTTTTTGTCGCCGTGTAAGAGAAATATATATAATATAAGATAGTAATAGTAATTTATTTACGTTACAATAGAGCTGCACAATAGAGTACAGGTGGTAGTCTGGAAAAATCTTTGAGAATTATTAGAAGACACGACATTACAATTTTGATCCTCCTCAGAGGGTATGGTTCCCCTAGTCAGACAACCTGCGTCCAAAGTCGAGCATTTAAAGGTTGAACAGTTTTTCCAGGACCGATACTAGAAGTCCTCAGTTCCGCCCTGTTAGAATGTTAGGGAAGCTTAACCGTTCGTAAAACTGGTTTAAGAAAACTTAAGAGTGCTTAAACCTGTGGAAGAATAGATTTCATCTATCAGGTTCTAAATCTCACTTGACGGTGATTGAAAGTGCATATATCGCAAACGGGGAAAATGGCACTAAAGATTTGTTTTACATTATCGAGTTAAATTAAAGTTTTCCGTTCATTTTTTAATAAATAGAAATCGCAGTAGTAATAGTTTGCATCGCACTTGAGCTTCACTAAGAGCTAAAGGCTACGGTTTGGAAAACATTCCTGAGGAGGATCCGCTAATATGCCATCACAGTTTCAATACTCAGCAGAGTGGGTTAGCTTCTCCTTATTTGGTTGCCCGTGGACAAGAGCTGGAAATCGAGATCTTAATGGTAGGCCAGTTTGACGAGGACCGATATCGTTCACCGTTGGTCCTTTCGCAGGTTGATCAAAATGATCTCCTACCCACCCATTATCTGTCGCAAGGGATGCTAAACATCTCTGCAAAATGTTTTTGCTCAACGGTTACATCTTGGGAGTCTTAATTTGGGAACGAGCTTCCATTTCTGCTTTTTCCAGCTCCCCGTTGTTATCTCGGAGGAGAGCAAGTAGGTTTTCTTTCGATGCTGCTTTCTTCACATCGAACAAAATAGACTACGCCTTTTTTTGATTGAGCTTGACATCTATCCCTTAGCTTTTTTTCCCGAACTCGTTATTGAACTTTTCAACTTTTGAATTTCACATGGCGTATAACTCTACCATGACGAATCTTTTTGGGGTGCCTAACTCCTAGCTTGAGTTTTGAACAGGATTAATATTCTCCTTGCTGGCTTTTTCAGTTTGCTCAGAAGTTTCGCCTCACTTTGACACCACTAGTACTACATGTTTGGGGGGTAGATACTAGTGGTACTTCCACTTGGGGTACACTAGCGGTACGAAATTTTGTTGATTACACCGGCAAAAGAGTTATTTTACTTTTTTATTCGATTTTAATCTCGTCAAGTGCTTTTCGAGCCTACTGCTCTAGACTCTTTGTGTATGAAATTTAAGTGCACATGGGTAAGCCACATGCAATTAAATTAATTACTTAAAGTTAAATAAACATCTAAAAGAAAATTAATATATGCCAGTCATAGATAAAAAGTTAAACATATTTAATGAAATAGGAAATTAGTAAAATTACATCTTGAATAAAATAAACACGTGCCTTAGCACGAACGTGAAAATTACGACGCTACACTGGTCGAAGCTGTAACCCAAATGCGGGAAAACAGTCTCTGTGGCAGGGTTGCCAACTTTGAATGTTCACGCCAAACCGGCGTTCCAGGATAGTTCGTTATCGCCGTAATGGCGAGACGATCCGCTGCAAAATTCTTCAATCTGCTTACTTAGTAGGTCTGCAAATTCAGAAGCTAAAATCATTAACTTTGAGTAAACAATTTGACTCTCGGCTTTATTTTGTGTTTCATTAATGACTTTGACCATGGACTGACTTAAGCAGTAGACTTTGCCCAGTTTTTTTTGAAAATCTTCGAAGTATAGTTCGAAATCATTGGACACCTCTTTACCCATCGACTTTAAATCAAAATAAGAGTTCAAAACTCAGCAGTGACCACTTGGATCAGTCTGTGTAGGGACCGAGGGTGTGCGGTATGGGTCCTCGTTAAACTGTGCTACCGTAAAGTGCTCGACTTCGCGTGCAGGTCGTCGGGCTACCGAAGCGGGGGTGCCATCCCCTCGGGAGAGGATCAAATTTGTGATGGCATGTCTTCGGATCATCCTGAGGGATGTTTCACAGACCGTCGCCAATAGCCCATTGTGCAGCTCTAGTGCGACGTAAATGAACTACAACTACGCAAAATACAGTACGTTTAAAATAGAAAAATTTCGATAATCCACCAAAATATACTCTAAAAAGACTTATTTGACTTTCGTCCTTTCTGCTTCCGTCAGCCACCCTTGAGAGTTCACCGTGGCAGCACGATGAATTGCTGAGCAGGTTAAGATTTTCAGCTACTCCGGATGCTATTTGAAAGAAGGTTTGGGACATCAAGCGGGGATTAGACTCCAAGTCTTTTTCTACCACGAGTAATCGTTTTCGAACCCCTTTTAAAGGTTAATCGAACTCCAAGGGACTCGACGGTGAGACTTTAAATGGAAGAAATGGATATATGTTTTTACAGTTTTGTGAAGATGCATAGATATAAATCCTCATTCAAAAAGACACTGCTGTTTCATCAGTCTTGCCTTTTATCACGGTCAGGGGTGAATGTAAACAAATTTAATTAAGGATGTCGGGTAAACTAACCAGTGAAGGAACACTTAAGCTTCGCTTGCCTTTTAAAAAATCATATTAATTTCAAAATTCGTAATTTTAGTTAAATGACAGTGTCAACATGCTTGTTACTAATTGCAAATTATGAAAAAAAATTGTAGAGAACTTACATAATATTGTTTTAAAGTTTTGGAGGTTCAAATAACAAGTGGTAAGAAAACCAAGTGAAGGAACAGCTCTTACCATTGAATGAACACCCAGTAAAGGAATACTTAATTTTGGTTATTTTTTAATGCTCTTTATGAATTTATTAGCCATACAAATATTTAAAAACAAGACTATTCATGAAATTATAACATATAAATATTTGGAGAATGATAACTTTTTTTTGTAATCATGAATTGAAAATTAAAGTGTCAACATATTAACACATACTGTTCATTCACTGGGAAATCTATGCCCAGTAAAGGAACATGCCTGTTCCCTCACTGGTTAGAAGTTGTTTTTCGTATTTTTAACATACTTTTGATGCGGAACATCACTAAAGGTACAAGAAAATTAAAGTTTATCTTTTATTTTCATTAACTTAGAAAAAAAACCAGTAAAGGAACACTTGTTCCTTCACTGGTTTTTCATCGTTTGGTGATCCAGTGAATAAACACCCCCTTATCTCAGTACTTGATTATGCTATGGTGCTTTAAAAAATAAAACGTAACTTCAATAACTATATTTTGAGTTCTCTTTTTCACAGAGAGAAAAATAAGACTACTACATGCAATTAATTCCACTTCAAGCATATAAATACAAACAATCACCTTATAATTTTTTCAACGAAACAAGGTGTTGCAGAGATAATAACAGATTCAAAAAATTTTCCAGAAAAGTCTATTTGACCCGGTAATCCAAAACA